AAGGCCCAAGATCGCTGCTATAATCTCTGAAGCTAAGAAGGCACCTAAGACTCTGATGAGGACTGCCCACGGTGTTTGGAATCAAATGACTTCGAACACGGGCAACCAATCACCACCCCTATGATATTTTTTGGTTGAACTTTCCATGGACTTCCTACTAGCATGTTTGATCTAGTGCCGGTGATTGGTTTCACATTTCTTTTCTGACTTTGCAGGACATGCAGGTATGAGAAAAAGGTGTTCTATTGGGCGGAGATGCATGTGAAGACTGCGAACAAGTACCTTACTAAGCGCATCGCAATTCTCCCATGATAAAATGGAATCATTGTGTTATGTTAGCACTAGTATTAGCACTCCCTTCACCTCCTGCTGCCCACTTAGGCATATGAGCCAGCTCTCAATGAATCGCAGGATGCAGTGGACCCAGGAACCTCCCAACTTTGATGACTACGCTCCTGAGTGCTTGGAGGGAAAGATGCCTGTGCAGCTTCAAACTGCTCCACCCACATCTCTTGAAGCTAAGGGGGGCAAGGGTGGCAAGGGTTCACCCCCAGTGCAGGTGGCGAAGGTCACCCCCAACAAGAGGGGTCAAATGGTTTCCCCAGCTCCATCCTACCAAGAGGCTCAATCAGCCCAAGAAGGCTGGGTTGGTGAATGTTCCTATGCTCACACCTACTTCTAAATTCAGAAAGGTCATTATGGTGACTCTGTGTTAAAACCCCAAAGACTCAACTGCTCATTTGCTTAACCCTTCAAGGTGATGATGACGATGATGAATATGAGGACTCGATCGACCCTCAAGAGCTTGCGGCTGAAGAGGCCGCAGGGAAGGAACGGAAAAAGGCAGGGATACCAGAGATCCATGTAGATGCATTGAACAGCTCTGCGGCGCCAAAATTCCTGACACTTAGCCCAAAAAAGGTTCAAGCGCTGGCACATAACTCCTATTGTTGAACATCGCCCGGTGCCAGATTCAAGTGTATTCATGTTGATTGTTGTTTCGCCTTCAGCAGCCAGCATTCCCAAGATCCGTGTGGGCCTTCTCCTGGCTCCAAGGATCTGCTTGGCCAAGCGGGTCTCCAAGCTTGACCTTGGCTATCAGAAGTTCTTGTCTGCTGACCGCCTTTCAGACTTACAGCGGAAGAGTTTCGGCTCTAACCTGGTGCAGGTGATGTATTATTGTTGTGTCCAGTCATGACTTTCTGCTACCTTGCATCTGGCAAGGATGCAGCTCAAGATCAAGGAGGTGGTCGAGGGCTTGAACGACATTTCCAGCAAAATTGAGAAACAATATCACGACGGCGTGATCGACGGATTTAGTGATGTGTCTGTGTCCCAGCTATTTTCACAGCGCCCTTTTCCAACCCTTGGTGCACAGTGCCCTGCAAACCTACTGTTTCCCTATTTCTCCAAATCTGCAAGGTCTGAAAACGAGTTGGACCTACTTTACGGGATAGCTCGGAGCAGGCCTTGTTTTACCGGCGGTTCAATTTTTGAGACTGGAAGGGGAAAGCATCTGTTTGATGTCCTGTTTCGACAGAAAACACCTTCACACAAGTTTCAACCCCATGCAGTGATAGTTTGACACCGCTCTTACCTCAGCTTTGCGAGGGCAATGGATGCATTAAGCTTGGAAAGCCGGATGAGGCCTGGATTGGCATGGGTGGTCGTTGGTGTTTCGATGGCTTTGGCACGATAGAGACATGGTTTGGACAAAGCTCTTAGTGAGAAACTTGTCCCTATAGTAACTATTAGCTAAATTAGCATCATTTAACATGAAAGGTCGGCCAAATCAAACCAAACTCCTAATGACAGTACTTGGCATGCGCCCCAAGACTTCAAACCTTCCTCACCCGTCACCCGGCTGCCCAGGCCATTCATTCCAAAAGGATCCACTTCCGGCGGGTCAAAGGGAAAGCTGAGGAGAGCGGGGAAGGGTGCCGAGGCTGCGGCCAAAGTTAGGGCCAAAGCAAAGGCAGCAGCAGCTAGCAAGTCCAAAGGTAGCGGGCCTCAGGGTGAAAGCGAGCCAAAAGGTTCCAGACCCAAGCGGGTAAGAAAGTGAGCTTTGTTTCAAACAAGTTAAGCGGTTATCAGCAAAGTATCTGTTTGTATGCTTACACCAGTGGTTGTTATAAAAGAATGGTATGAGTTGCAGGGTTTTTCTTCTGTTGAACGTGTTATTTTCTAGACGTGCAATGTGCTCGAAGCTCACTTGCTGGGGTTTCCATGCTGGGGGCAGTCTCCAAAAAGAACAAAGCAATGTACTTTTACATGTTCACACGTAGCGCCTTGGTTGTGAGAGACGATCCTCTTTTGGCATGTGACTGTTCACCGCCTGTTTTTTTCGAAACAGCGGCTTTCATCCTTCACGCGGTGTGAGGGCAATCCACTAAGACAGGGGTGCAGCTGTCTCAGGCTTTCGTGGCCGGCCGTGAGAGAAACAAATGAAGCGGATCCTTTAGTGCCACTTGTTTTGATAGGTGTTTAGCTTCTCCGATGACACAGTGAGCCAGGTGTTGAACAAGACGAACCACATGATGGGTTAAAAGCTGTTGCCGATGCAGTGGCTGATGGGGCCCTCAACTTAGCTCAAACACGAGACATTATGCGCCCTAACATGTGGGAGTTGGAATTTCTTATTTCACCTGGGCAAGGCCCAAAGTCAATGTTTTGTACAATGATCCAGGATTCCCACACCAGATTTTGAAGTCAAATCTTTCCCAAGCCGGGCTGAGGTCCCATGCACAACTGCAGAAGCCATCCGGCGGGGCTACACATCTAGCAAAGATGCCCCGGCCACTAGTGGTTGGAAAAAGAATGTTTCCAGAACATGCTGGAATACATTCAGGCGGATGGGGATTTCTTGGAATGTGAAGCTTAGCAACTATGACTATCGAGCACCTTCTGGAGAAGTGGTTCCCATGACTTATGTTTCCCCTATATCTTTGCTGCAATACCTCTTGGAGAAACACGTGGATGTGTTGGTTGGAGGCTTGCAGTGTCCCCAAGAAAGGGCGCAACACCTTGATGCTTTTTGGCAGGGTTTCAGGCTGCATCATGGCGACCATATGGTGTTTGAGGAGCATGGCGGTTCCCTGTCGAGAGTGATCCCATTGTGCTGGCATGGAGATGAGGGGAGAGGCAAGCGACGAGGGAATACAGTTGTCGTTTCGCTGGAATCGCCGATAGGCATTCAAACTGCGCTACAGAAAAAAAGGAAACATACTGATACTGCTGGATGTGGGTGTGGGTGCAACCCTCCGGACTCTATGAAGCAGAAGTACCACAGAGAACACAAAGAGATGCACGCTCGCACTTTGTCTGCCTTGGATTGTCAGTGGACGAACATGAAAGGTCACAGTTTTCTTCAGCACTTTGCGCTCTTCATCATTCCCAGTGTGGTGCACCATGCACACCCACAGGTGCTGCCTGAGATGTTGAAGCTGATATCTCTTGACTTCAAACGGCTCTTCTTTGAGGGCTTGACCATTGGAGGTAAGCAGTTCTGCTTTGCTCTGATCGCAGCCAAAGGAGATTTGAAGTGGTTTTGCAAGATCGCTTTGGAACGGTCATTTCAAAATCAGGGCAGGGTCCGTGACAGACCTTGTTGCCATGAGTGCACGGGTGGCTCAGGAGCTCTTACATGGGAAGACTTGAGCGAGAATCCTGTTTGGGCAAATTCAAGATATACGCAGCGACCTTGGTCAGTGCCTCCTTGTGTGATTGAAGTGCCGTTCTGTCGGAGAGCGCCTGAAAAACAGTTCAAGAGAGATCCATTCCATTGTGCCAAAGTTGGCATCTATCGGGATCTAGCTGGCAGCTGTATTTGTTGGCTTGTCGCCAAGCAGTACTACGGCAATGCTGGGGACTTTTCAGCCAAGCTGGAAACATGCCACGGGATTTTTAGATTGTACTGCACTACGGTTGGCCGCACAGCTGCTTTGCGCTCATTCAGCCGCGCCCTTTTCATGTACCCACGGTTTAGTGCATACCCGTGGGCAAACACGAAGGGCAGTGACACCATGGTTTTGCTGTCCTTCATTGCTGTTCAGTGCGCTGGCTTCATCAATGCTCCGCTCAATCCAGCTCATGTTGTTGACTTGAAGCTGATGCGCCAGACCTGCTTGGCTGCAGTTGACTACTTCTCTGTCCTCAATCACCATGGTTTGTGGCTCCGGAGGCCGTGTGCAATGGCTGCGCAGGTTGAGCTGACAAAATTTGTTGTTGGCTACGGGATGCTAGCAAGCAGGTGCTTGAACGACCAATTCAATGGTTGGGCTGTGAAGCCCAAGCTCCATCTCATGAAGCACGCTCATCTTGAAATGCATGAGTGGCTGGCAGCAGGTTTGGAGATTCTGCCAAATTACAACGTGCACAACTGCGAGCAAAACGAAGATTACATAGGACGAGTGTGTCGCCTGTCCAGGCGACTTGACAGTCGGAGGATTGGGCAACGTGTCCTTGAGTGTTGTTTCATGAAATCTCGTTTGATGCATCAACGCTTTGTAAAGGAGAACCAATTGGATTGAGTGCTGTGATTGGCACTGACGGGTTGGCTGGAAAAAGAGGTCTTGAGTCTTGACCGTGGGAAGGGACCAATGTTCAGTCAGGGCCCGATTTGTTTGAGCATGTGAGGGCCCGACCTCAACCTTTCTATGTTGCATCATTCTTTGGATGTTCAGTCAGAACCTTGGGGGTGGGAAAGCGGCGAGGCTGCAGGCGAGAAGGAACATAATGAAGCTGTGTTCATCAAAGATAAATCAAACGAACCAAAAAAAAACAAACGAACTAAAATAATTGCAAACGCCAAAAAAACACAATGTTTCAACTTCGAGCGATAATTTCGCACGACCGGAGGTTGTAGGTATGTTTATCAACAACCCTATATACCGTGGAGCTGGTCTATATCAAGATGCTTTTAAATGCTGTACAAACAGACCCTATATCAGCCATCATGTATACGGTTCGTTCGCTGTGTGCCGCCTGTGTTCGTCACCAAGGACCTGTCCGAGACCAGCTTAGCCAGCCGCGTGTGCAAGAGTGACGCCGCGCTGATCCTGTCGACGCCCCAGGCGGAGCTCGTGGACCACATCAACAGCCACTCGGAGGAACACGAGCAGACCGGGGCGACCGACCCGGCCGTCCCCTTTGTTGGGGCGACCGTGGGCAGCCAGTGAGGATCAATGAGGTGTTCGCCACACTCAGAAACCCAAGGGGCAAACTAGTAGCGTCCTTGCTTCTAGTATCGATGCCAGGAGCTCCTAGTAGCGATGCCAGGAGCCCCTAGTAGCGATGCCAGGAGCCCCTAGTAGCTTTTGGCTCCTTGTAGTAAGGCCAGGAACCCCAAGTTTTTCTGGGTTCTATAGAATCTGTTATGCGTTTATTCATGGGATTTCAGATGGGTTCACTGGGCATACCCTGCACCGCCACACCGGCCTGCGAAGGATGAGTTGGTGTTTGGTGGGGTGGGCAGTCCAAAAGTGTGTCTCGGGCAAGTGGGTTCAAGCCTCTTACCAGGGCGCCCTAAGGGGTGTTTATAGCCCCTCATTAGAGGTTAAGGGTGATCAATGAACCCCCTAGGAGGCCTTCCTATGGCATTCCCAAGCACCTACTGAGACTTCTGACTCTCTGGCTCCCTGTCGGAGCGGTGTCCGGCCCACCCGCGAGGCTTTCTAGGACTCCAGACCGGGGAGTTCAAGCCGGGCTTCCTTCAACCTGGCATCCTCCTGTGTATGCTTTGCATCCTCCACTGGGGCCTTTGTGCCTGGGCAGATGACTCCTCAAGATGGGGTATATAAAAACCACCTTTTTGGGGATTGTGCTTCTCAATCCGCGATATTTCTAAACATTCTTAACGCTCCGCGTGGAACACCGCGGTGCACGGCAGCGATGTGTCGTCCCAGTGCACGGAAGCGAGGTCCAAATGGTCCGCTTGGGGGCGGTAGATCGGGCGAAGCCAGATGAAGATGGCCGATCCCAGATGTGAAGACTTTTGTTGGTGAGATCAGTAGAGCTGCGTTCTATGCTAAATATATAGCTCGCGGAAGTTTTGCAGGCTTTGGTGTCGGTTTGGTCGATCTGATGACGGAGGCATTGTTTTTGAGATTGTGACAACGCCGTAATACATTGCAAACACATACCCGTTGACTGATGGTTTATGAAATGAGGATCCTTTGCGCTTACAAAATGCTCGCTCCAACGTGCATATCATAAACCATCAGTTTGGGGTCTTTGCAAATCTACAAGTTGAGGTTAATATTGCCTCCACATTTTGTATAAATCAGAGGGTTTCAGAGATTCGGTGTGTGGTCAAAAATCAATTGTGATGTCAGGGAAGGCATTCTGTATAAGGGCTGGATGCCCAGGAAAATCATTAACTGAATGCTGCGCAAGGCATTTTGTATAAACTAGTGGTTGGAGATGGTGTCTTTCAACTTTGGTTAAGTGTTGCTATACTATGCATTTTGTGTAAGCAGGCCTTTTTCCTCCAAATCTGAACATTTCTACTGTGTAATGTATTGGCATGATATAACAACGATGGATCTCGTTATAGCGACAATATCCTTTACACACATATCATAAATCCTGTGTGTTTGCAGAATGAAAATCCACAGACCCATTGGACAAACAAGGAGTATGCAAACACTTCAATGCACACAGAGACTGTCACTTCCGAACGGTGAAAGTTATGCGGTTCTGAACCATTAACTAATGAATACAAATCCGATTTTGTTACCCTAAACTCTCTAAACCAACCCTGAATACTGAATGCTTGGGCTTGAGCAAACAGCAAGCAAACCTCAACTGTGATCCATTCGCATCTGTGCTTCTCCATACCTATTTCAAGAGCAACTCCAACCACAAAAAGGAAGAGCCTTTACAGCAACTCCAGCAAAGCTGTACGGATTCAAGCGTTTCTTGTGTTGACCATTTTTGTTTCGTGTCTCAGGTGTGTACAAGGAGTTCCGCAGCATTTGGTCTACATTGGAAGCAGTGGCCACCATCCCCCGGTCCTCACGAACCACAAAAAGCGAGCACTACATCCATTCATTGTCCCTCGCTCGTTTTATCGTTTTTTTCCTCACCTGCGTGGTGCGCGCGGCCATCGCAAGCATCTTGCTGATGGCCGGAATCAACTGGCTTGCTCGAACCTCATCCATTGAGGAGCTCATGCTGAACGCTGTAGCCCTCAACGGGATCATGGACGTAGATGAGCTGCTCTTTGCGGCTTTTACACCACTGTCCATCCAGCACCAACTACAACGCCTGCGGCCCGTGAAGATGAAGTACACCAGTGGACGCAGTCAGAGAGAATCGGTGGTTTTATTCTTCCTGTTACTGGCCACCGTGCTGATTCCCTATTTCGTACTCTTGCAGCCCTTGGGCGATGGGATGCTCGAGATCAAGAAGGACGGGTGGACCGTTCTGCAGTTGCTCGAGTCTTCGGTCTCCGGACTGGCGGACTGGTGGACTGCCACCGATGTCGCACCGATGTCGCCCCCGGGCCCGGACCGGAGGCTGCCCGGACCCACGAGTGGTTCGTTGGAGCGAATTTCGCCTCCAAGACACCCGCGGGACACATCGGACACTCACGAAACCGGTCGCGGTTTTCACTCCCAATTCCTCGAGATCGTTCTGGCCTGGGGATCTGGGGTTCCAAGGCCGACCTCCAGACTGGAGGTCCAGGTAGGGAGCCACCCGGCCGTGACCTCTCAAACTGCTGGGCCTCTCGTCTCGTGGCCGGGTTGGGGGGCTGCGGCCGGTGCTTTGCTCGGTGGCGTGCAAGGATGTTTAGGCAAAAGACGGGTCATAGCCATGGCACTGTCGTTTACTGACTGTCAGAGGTAATCGTAAAATATGGTAAATAGATGTAATTACTGCAAGTAGATGATGTTTAAATTGTACTATATTGTCATCGTAAGTTTCAAGTCGTAGGCCAATGATTTACATTTAAGTTTACTATCAACTATCAACTTTTCAGATCTTAGAGCAGGCCATTTAGTTCTGCTATGTTTTGCTTCAATCGCTCCTTGGTAGCAGCATTCGATCTCGACAGCGTCCGGCCGAGATCGGCTCGGTCCTGAATTGGGGGTTCCCACCAAACGAACCCGGAAAGTCTCAGTGGTCAACGAACCGTTCCACCAGGAGATGTGTGGTGGGAACTTGACCTTCGTGGTGGGCTACAACCCCGACGTCCAGGAGGTGGTGGGCTATGTGACCCAAGCGGCACGCAGTACCGAGGAGCAGTCCTTGAGTGAACTTGCGGTGAATCAGCACAAGTTCCTGAATCAGCAGGACCAGTTTCAGGGCAAGACATGTGTTACAGTGTTACAGCTGGGCATTTTCGCACAATTACACTCCGAACTAACATGGTTACGTGGATGGCCCCGAAATGGAAGACCATGAAATCCACTACAAACAGGTGGTTTTCACTCCACGTAACCATGAGGACGTTCCAGGGAGAGTAGGACTTTTAATCTTTCGCCCTCCCAGAACGGTTTTACATCTCCACACGGGCCAGTTCAACAGTCATTTCAACAGTCTACATTGGATGCCATGTTCGACGTCGTGTCTGACATGCTCAGAGCAAATGAACACTATAACCCTGGTCAGCCGCATCCCTGGTCAGACGGACCCTGAGCATAGACATTAACAGGTCCTCTTCCGAAGACACACTTATCTCTAAATAAATAAGACGAACAGTGATCCAATGGCACACCCCACTCCAACAAACATGGAAGTGGAATGAAGTGGACAATGACCTGTTGCTAGAGGAACATGGCCTTTCCACTTCCATGATTGTTTTGCAGGTGTGTACATGTTTAGTTTTGGTGGTGTTAAGCATACAGGTATAGAACCATATGAAAGAGACATGAAGATGCCGACGGCCGCAGTGGAAACGGCATACTGTAATTTAAGTTGCTGGGCCAGACTGGTCTAATTCAAGGTTTGCTAGTTTCTGTTGGGTTGGTTTTCATGCTAGCATGTGAGTGTGGTCCGGTGTGACACCCTTGGTACCACCCATGGTTTTTCTCTTGGCGGTGGGTGTTTTCATGTTTCGCCAGGTGAGGCGTCCGATGACTCATTGGACGTTGTTTCTCCCCTGCTCACGTTCAAAGACCTGCGGCTGAGATGATGTGCGCTGTTGTGTATTCATATCCTGGTTTCGCTTAAGGTAAGTTGTTTCTAAATATTTCCGTGTGGTTAAATCCCCTTCTGGTGAATCTGTTGCGTGATTTTCCAGGTTCCGCAAATCCAAGAATATGTGTTAATGTCATTGAGACTTGTTCCCATCGGTCTCCCGATGTTGGAGTCTTCCGTAACTCCGCCCCGGCCGCTGAAGCAAATCCGTCGCCAGGTGTGGGGAACTGGTTGTGGAAGCCATAGAGGAATGCACCAATCATCCGGAAAGCCCTCTTCGTTTTAGACACAACCGGGCCCTGGGAACTGGTTGGACCATCTCAGAAGAAAAGATGCACCCTTAATGTAGACTCTTCATCAATCACCCACTTCAGGAAGAATTTCCAATTCAAATTGGGGTGGGTTTATTATCTACATTTTAGGATTTGAGGGTTGCCAGGACATGAGCTCCACGAGCTACATCTACTTCACTCCCAACCGGGCCCTCTTCGAAGAGCACCGCCTGCAAAGCATCGCGGAGCTCACGGCAGCTTGCTTCCAACGGGTCCCAACAGGGGGGTCAAACGGGCGTGAAGTGGTTTTTGCGGTACGAAAGGAACCACGTTTCCAGGAAACAGGGAAGAAAACCCGGGCCCCGGACCATGCGAACGGTGCCGGCCTCTTCTACTCTTGGGACTTTCATTGGACACGCTCGGGATGGTGTAGGTAGGCAATGGTAGTAGGCAATTGTTGGTGTTGAACGGGGGCGATAGGCTTTGGGGGTTGTCTCATCAAGTGATCAGTAGTAGATGATGGTATTCAATGGTATTGGTCTAAGTATGTGGTGTTTATTGCTTGCTTTGCTTTACTCTCACTTGCACACAATAGCTTGCCCCGGGTTTGATGCTGATCGGGCAAATTTTGGACCTCAGATGATTGCATGTACACACACACATATATATATATATATAAATGGGACTTTGTCCATGACGTTGCACTTTAGAAGCAGAAAAAAGCCAGTGGCCCCTGTTCACCCACATCAATTCAACTGGGTGTAAGTTGTAAGCGTGGTTATAGCCAGAGTTGGTGCAACTCAGAATTTAACCTTTGAAGCTCAGATCTTGTGCTACAAGGATCCTGTTCGTTGATTTATGTGATGTTGCACACGGCAGGGCGTCGCGGCCCAACTCAGCAGGCTTCAGGAGAACGGAGAACGTAATTACATAGAATGTTCTAAATGCTCACGTTATATGTACATGTCTAAGTATATTCATCATATTTCATGATATTTTCAATATATGATATGTATTACAATATTGAATCACATTTTCATTGTATATTATACTGTATGTATATATATATAGGAGTAGAGCCAGATGGCCTGTTCCAGGATTTGGTGCCCAGTTTTTTGTTCGAGGAAAGCAAACACAACATCTCTTGTTTGACGCCATCTCATGTTTTCTTATGTTGATTAAATGAGAAGTCCCATATATGGAGACTCCTTTCTGTCCAAATGTGTTCTTTCATATCAACAGTCTGCAGTACATATTCAGGGACATTATTTTTCTGCAGAGCACTCTGAGGCCCGCGAGAACTCACATGTAAAACAAAGATGCAACGCGCGAGGATCATCGGATCATGGAGAGTTTGACAGGGACACCGGGCACCTGATGAGCATGAATGCGGCCTTGTGGTGTCAACGGCCTTGCGGGTCTCAGCACAGAGCTCCAAGCTAGCATGAGCAAGAAGACACCAACCACGCGCAGGAGAAGAAGGGTTTATCAGAACCAAAGGCACTGAGTCTACCAACATTGAAGTCGTTCAACGGGTCATGCTTGAAACAATTAACACTGATTCCCTTGCGTTTGAAGTGGGAGCTGAATTCTACTGGGAAGTCAGGAAACCGGCGTTGCCAATGTCGAGCAACATGCCTCAGTGTCTGCGTCGCAGGCCCAACACAAGCCATTTTGAAAGGGAATTGGCGCTGCGAAAGCTTGTGCAATCTTTGGAGATTGAGCTTGAATTTGGGAGAACATGGTCACAGTCACTGCCCATGCGCAGCAGGCACCAACAAACTTGCATTCTAGATGACCCAGCCCCACTGCTTGGCGCCTTCTACAATCGTTGAAGAGCAGACATCATGAATCAAGAACAGGACGGCGCCCACTAGGTTTACTGTATCAAGAGAGCGGGTGTGCTTGAGCGGGTGTACACTAGCTCGAAATCTATCAAAACACTGTAAATGCTATGCAATTTGTTTAAAACAACTCCTCTGAAACCTAGGCGAAACGCATATTTTCCTATCTTCCTGTGCCAAATTCCTATACTATGTGCAATGCCAATGTGTAAAATCAATGATAAGCATTATTATTAGTTTGACCCGTCTTTGTTCAATATCAATGACTGCCTGGTAATTTGTATTCATTTGTTCTCAATAGCGGTCAAAGCTGTTTGGATTTGAATCTTGAAAGGTTTGATATCAGATATGCGGACTTCAGCTTCAACTCTCCCCTCAGCAACTTCACCTTGATCCCAAAGGATTTTTCTATTGTTCCATGCAATAGATTTTACGATTTTACATGTTATAAGTTATAAGTGATTCTTTCTATTCTTCCATCTATGCTTTATATAATTTCTTTGATGTCCTTTTTCATGGGTAAACAGCAATCCAAATAACACATATTTAATTTCTGTATGAATTTGGCTTTGGCTGGCATCTTGTCCAAACCAAGAGAACCAAGAACCATGACAAGGCAACCAAAAAGAATAATATATGGTGTATCATTCTTAGCAATGACACAGAAATCAATCAAACTTCTTGTGCAAAACAACTTGACCAAGAAAAAGGCCTTGTGAAGATTGAAGCAGCCTTCCTTTTTGGTGCTCAATGGTACGGCACGATTGAACGTGTAGAACACCTAAAGCAACACAGATACAACCTACTGGAACAATAGAAGCACTTATTGAAGCAACAGAAACACTTATTGAGACAGGACACCAGGTAGAAGTTAATTGATGCTGTTGCAACTTGGTCTGGCCCATTAGCTTCTTTAGTACTGCGTTCCTTTATTTGGATCTTGATGCTCTTAAGAAGGCAACGTTTGTAAAGAACAAAGTAAATAATTGTGAAGGTTTTCTCAGCCTTAAATGCATTAGTGCTTATAGAAAACAGTTAGGCAAGACATACATTACATACACACCCCTACTGAAGCAATTGAAACGCCTTTTGAGACAGCGAGCCACAAAACCTAGGTTTTGACCTATTGTTTCGCTTCAATTGTTCAGACCAGGCCTGCAGAGGTTTAGAGGGAATACCCAAAATCAAAATACAAAAAATACACACAAAACAAAAAAAAACACAAAAAAACACACAAAAAAAACATAAAAACCAATGTTTGAGACAAAGTGAGGGCAACACCAAAAAAACAACTCCAAATCCTGTAGTACCATCATTTTCTCTCAAGCAGTGTTTTTTGTATTCTGTTTCTTCTTGTATTCCCTCAACTTTTGTCGGCCTGGTCTGAACAATTGAAGCCACACAATAGCTCAAAACTTAGGTTTTTGTGAGGTTTCAGCCACAAAGCACCGCAAAAACACACTGCTTTAAATCTTGTTTTGCATTAATAACAAAAATTGAAACATTTCAAGCCCAAAACTGCTGTAAAGCACAACACGTCTCTCAGGAGCACCCACCCGTTCTGTTTATCAACCTTCAGGGGGCTGATCATCCGGGACTGAAACGGAGCTCGGCTCGCGCTGCTAGAGTTGCAATGATGTGGCATCGTACTGATAGTGACTGATAGTGCTTCGGAAATTGGATGGTTTAACTCATGATTCATGAAACTTCTGGTTAAAATAACGAAGAATCACTTTCTTCACTGCCTCCTCAGCGGACAGGAACTCCCAAAAGTAAGAAGAGGCCCTGGGACATTGGTATATGTGCATTCTATTGAGGTCCGTAATCAGCCTGCAGTCGACCGAATATGGGCAATCCACAAGAGTATAAGTTTTTTTTCCTATTAAACTCATGTATCTGAAAAGCAGGTGTGCGTCCACTACCTTTTATTCCTTGCTCCGAGCTAGCTGGTGTTTGCATCACTCTGACCGTCATCTTCACGCAGCCCTTTGCGTGACCCGGGGCACCGCGGGACAAAGCGCGCGCCGCCTGAGGAGAAGATCCCCTTTTGCATCGAGAGAGCCACCTGGCGGCGGCAGGGAGCCGAGGTGGGAGTTCCCGGGCGAGGCTCGTGGGCGCTTTGGGCCGAGGTGGAAGGGTTTTCACAAGTATGTTATTTTAAAAAAAACAGGGTCATTCTTGCTGTGGTTCCAAGGTTGGGATCAGGTACCCTTTAGAGTTCGCGAATGCTATTTTGAAGGAAGGTGGTGCCAATCCCAGACGTTCCATGTATGCCATAATTATATGCCTACATTGACCCCCAAAACTTAAAACCACCCCAATGTAGGCATATGGGCATGGATGGGGTGTGACCGGCTGTTCTTACCCTCCCCTCCAAAGCCTCCCCTCCAAACCTGCCCCAGAGACTTCAAGAACCATCATGTTCCACCAACTCCCACAAAATGAGCAGGATTGGGTGATTTGTGATTGTGGGATTTGTGGGATCCTTGAAAGGACCACCATTTTGGACAAATATTTTTGGACGTGCGCTGCAGTTGTCCACATGCACCTGCGCCTCAAAGCCTATGAGCTAACATGTATAGGGTCCCAAATGTTTCTTTCTGTTGGGTTGCAGTCCCATGAGTGTGGATAAAGTCTCTTATGTGTTTGGAATCCCGCCATGTCATCTCAAATTGACATGACCTCCGGACCAACATGACTTCCTGAGCTCGTTCCCGTCGTCGTTCTAACGCAAACAAAAAATTCCTTTCTTTCGCTCGTGCCGAGGACATTTTGTCGCCGAATGGCACCTTCTATGGAGACCCGTTGGTCTTGCCGCTGGTGAATAGTCGGTTGAAGTCGGCGGCCATTGAGCTGGACGTGTACTCGTCCAACGTCCAGTGCCAGGACATGCGCGAGCAGTGCAAGAGGTGGGGGGGTTAGGGGTTGGGGGAGCGTCGGGTGGGGAAATACACACGTGATCGTTCTTGCTTTACGCCACATGTCGCTTTTCAGCACAACTCTGTATACAATATAGCTGCGCTTGCTCTCGCAACCGCTGCCTGCCTCCCACGCGTGATTTCAGCATTCCTTTCCACGGTTCGACGAGTTCGCTCATCGGCCGCCAGTGGAAAACCCAACAGGAACCGTTCTTTGCCGACGGTCGTGCCTTTAAATGTTCAGTCCTGACTAAACGAGTCGTCAAGTCGGCATGTCTACGCCTGGTTTTCGCAGGCACTAATGAGTGCAGGGATAAGATCCACCATCCAGCATCGGATTGTCTTCTTGCATGCGAAGATCACCAAGGGACCACAAGCTTTTCAGCAATTTTCCCTAAGATACTTATGCCTTCGGGTTCGCCCTCCCGAGGAAACGTGGCTAACAAAACCCTTGGTGAAGGGATTGGGTACGCCCTGCCGCAGTTCATTTTGGGAGCACTGAAGAACTGCCACCTAGTCAGACCAAAAAAAGGATGGTCGACTGTCTGGACTGAAATCCGACGGTGGACCGACGGTCCGACAGCGTCGTTCACTCGATCATTAGGTCACCATCGTTCACTCCCATCGTCACATCAGCGGGTCTGCCGCAAAAAGGGGCCATATTGTCTGGATGACCAGGCGATTGCACGGTTAATATAGACTTTGACACTTCCATTTTTAGTGACCATGCGCTTGAAAGGGACCAATGAACCTTTCAATCGCATTGCAGCGCGTCGCTCCAGTTCTCCCGCAGCAGAACCCATCAGTTCAGGCCCGATGCGCGGCTCTTGCGGATGGTCTGTGGCGTGACCTGCGGTTGTACGGACCCCTTGGCCTCGCCGTGGCACAAGGTGAAGGCGCAAGGCCTGGCGGTCCGGGGCCACTTTGGTTCGGCCTTGGTAGAGAAAAGGAGGTGTGTTTTTAACATACCAGCTGCTTCCAAGGGTTACCAATGGACAACCCTACACTGCTTATAGGTCACCATTGGACAACCATTGGAAGTGCCAGGTATGTTTAAAGCATTTTGAAACATTTTCTGGGGGAAGAAATCGCAGACAAGACAAGTAGACTTGCTGCACAAGGTCGTTTGAGAACTATAGAATCAGTGATCAGAGCTTCTCATAGCTTCTCAAATGTTTCATGAGTTTTCCTGCCAAATCCCGTTTCTGTGAGCTGCTTTCACATCCGTTTTACATTCGGACCGACAGTAAAACTCCTCATGACTCATGCTCCCATGGTTTTGAAAGGTCATATGTTCAGCATTTTGCCTCACACTTAGGTATAATAAGATATAATAAGATCATATACATATATATATATATAAACGATCCAATATGGCCACTGACAGCGACACACCCTGAATTGCTTCAAATAATGTAGTTGGGGCCAGGTGGAGGCGTGAATTCGCATGGTTTGAAGATTTCAATCCGTTTTGTCCGAAGATCTGCAGGCTGCTCGGACGTCTGCACTAGCATGGCCGTCATGCGGATGGAAGGAGCACAGATCAAGCCAAACAGGGCCGAGTCTGCCTTCGACTGCCTTACTGCCACTGTTTGTCGGCATGTTCAAGATCTTTTGCAGAACTCTTCTTGGAGACTTAGAGCTTTCACCCTCGCAGATAGAAGGCCGTTCCTCGCTCATCAGTCCGGACCCTGTGTTCCATGTTTCGGAATGACCACATGGACCCTGAAAACCCCATTCCATCGCGCCTCATTCCAGGGCGACCCTCACTCTCATCCTCTCCACAGGGGGACACCACCTCCACCTCCGACGTCCGCGACCGAACCCGCTCGCCCCGGTCCGCGCAAGCGCTCCCCTCGTCCGACGAGGAGCTTGCGACGACCGGTCCGACAGTCTGGTGTGGACCGAGTTCTGGGACGGCCCCTGGGACCGGGCGGGCTCCACCAGGAGGGTGGCGGCGCCTCTGACGGCGGGGGGTGAAAAACCAGCTCGGCCCCAGCGGCACCACCGACGTGGCGGACCCGATGACGGTGCGAGGCAAACAGGGTGACTGGTCACCGTGATGGTTCCAGGGAGCTTTTGAGCTAAATCTAGCTACTACAGCTGCTACTAGCTCTTAACATTTATTATGGATATTAGATATACATAACATATCTATATATATATACATCTACGGCGTGCACTTGTTGCTTCATGCTTGGTGCCATACGGCTCGGAACTCCGACTCCGACCCTCAAGTGCCACCACTGGTCCGCGGAGACGTCGAAGATCTCATTTTCTTCTGAAAAAGGTGTTTTTATCTAACAGTGGCCGAACTCGAAGGTCCGGGTTTGTTTTATCACATCTCCTAATCCATATGTTTGACAGTGACAGTTCTTTGATGGAGAAGGGGCGGTTGTGAGTGTGTGATTTTACAAGATTAATCTTCTAGTAACCCATTTTTAGATGATGCTATTTCAACATGATGTTATCTTGAGATGATGTCATCTTAAGGTAGCTTAATGTCAATTTAAAATCTCAAGCCCCAAGATTGCACTTTTGCACTTCATGATGAATAGCATACCTTTCAGTATGACAAGTGTCATATGTTTGCCACAATATGACATACACAAATCAATCTCATGATTTGAGAGGTGCACCTTTGCATTTCACGGGTGAAGACATGAATGGCTGATCTCACAGTATGAGAAAGCTCAGATGTATGTCAAAGTAAAGGATGCACAGCCCAGTTCTCATATTATGAGTTTAGCAGCATGTAACATGTACCTCATAGTATCATACTGTCACATCAATAGCCCTGCATTTCATGAATTGAACAATCAACAACGTATCTCACACTATGATAAAGTTCACATGTAAATGTCACAGTGGGAGATGCACAGATCAACTCTCATACTCTGAGATTAGCACTTTGTCGTGTCATGTTTTGAAATATGAACCATCTATCTCACATTGTGTTGAATTGCACATGTTTGTCACTAATCCCAGGGCGAGACAATTGACATGTGCAGCTCATACTGTGACATAGATACAATATGCAATTCAACATTCATTTTTAAAACAATGAAATGCCAAAGTGCCCATAGCAGATCATGAGCATCAATCTCTTCATATCATATCATTACATACGTTTGAAATGCATTTGATAGTTCGCACTTGATCGTTTGACATGACAATTTTGTTACACTTGTAGACGGGTCACATGCATATTGAGGATTTTCCTGCGTGCCCGTGCCGTGCCGTGCGGTCGGGGTGTGCGTGTGTGCGTTCCGTGCTGCGTGCGGTGCCCGTGCGAACTCTTTATGGTCACATGTATGTCAGAGTGTGAGATGCACAACTTAGTTCTCATGCCGCATGCCATGAGATTAGAAACGTGTATCCCATAGTATCTCATACGGTCACATCAGTAGCTTTGCATTTCAAGGTTGGACATATGAACCATAAATCCCACACTACCAGGTGTATGTATGTTACAGCATAATTATGCGCAAATCGGGTCTCATGATCTGAGAAGTGCACCCCTGCATTTCATTGTTGGACACCACAAAGTATATTTCACATTTTGAGACGGCTTTGATTCGCACAAAGCAGTTCTCATTATTTGACAGGTGAATTCTTGCATTTCATGGTTGGAAATTTGACACACTCTCACTATGAGATAGAGCACATGTTTGAGACAAACAAATGAGATGATCAGATCATCACATGTTTGTCACATAGTGGTATGCGCAGATCATTTCTCATGATCTCATGCTCTAGGATGCAGGGATGATATTGTATAGTTTGTAACAGCCAAACATGTACAGATGAATGTGGCCTCATATCACTCAGAATGGCCAGGATTAATGTGAATTAATCTTGATAAATCTGGGTGAACAAAAAGACATGTGTTCCATACTAGTCTCATCAACCAAGCAGTCCCCAAATCAAGTTTGTTGCTTATTGGTTTCCGCAGAGAGTAGATGCCTGTAGCGCCTTCTGCACCAGAAGAGATCAAGACAAATTGACCAGAAATCACATGCTCGCAACAGTGTTACACTCCCTGGAACTAACATGGAAGTGGAGAATGGCCCTGAAAGGAAGACCATTTTGCACTACAAACAGGTGGTTTTCACTCCACGTAACCATGTGTTTTCTTTCGGGAGTGTTGCACTGTGTTTTGATACGTATGAACATGCTCGGTCGGCGACCTCGACGCTCGGTCACCGTCCGAGGCTATGGGACCGCAGTTTCGACCTACTATGGGCCGCTCGGCGTGGCAGGGGTCCTGTTTGGCCGAATTGGTGTCAGCTTTGCAAGTTCACCGTTAGCTCATCCCTCAGAAGTCTGGGACTTGGACTTGATGGCAGGGGTCCGGCCCATGGCAGAGATTCCGGACCCTCAGAAGAACCTCTTTCCATTGCTTGGGCCCTTTATCTTGAATTCTTGGGTCTTCATCACCCCCCACAAAACCACCCCGAGCCACCCTTCGATTCGTTGCGGCCGAACGGGCCATCCGGCCATCGGACGGGGCGAGGCAGGATATCAGCAAGACGGCTGTTTGGCCCTTCGCTTCCAACGTCTCGGAGCGGCTGCGCATGTTAGGCTGCCAAGGCTTGCGCGCCACTTGGAACGAAGCAGTTCAGAAGTAAGATCTGGTCAAAGAAGGATCGTTGGTAGGGGATCCAACAGTGCCAGAACTGTTGGGATGTTGGGGATAGACCAGTGCACTGTACTACTGCACCCTGCAGTAAGTTATGTGGTGGTGTCTTATGTGGCCAGGTGTGTCGACCGGACGCTCGGTGCTGGTCTCCATGCTGTCAGGGTGTCCAGTGATCCATAAGTCGTGTAGGCTTGGGTACTCCAGCCAAGACACCCGTCCAGGATGGTCCTGGAGAGAACCGTTGTGACACGGAAGGCAATTGCGGCCCTTCTTCATCCCTCTTCCGTTTCTGATGGATTTTGGGATTCCAGAAACAAACTAAAGGATTGGTACATGATTGGCCCCTCTCATTTGGAGTCGTCATTATTCTTTTAAGCACACATCGCGCATTTTTGTTGAAGCCGAGGCAGGATCTATAGCAATGACATTTCTTACGACTTACCACATGCTTTTTTCTTCGGACTGACTGAGCTCGTCAGGTGCCTCAACTTCAAACGGAGCTCGTCAGCAAGGCACGTTGGTGCGAAGGCTTCCTGGCTTTGCGGTATCAGGTGATTTTTGGCTCTTCCACGTCTTTTCTATTACCCCTGACTGGGGGAAATATGTCTTGATATGTTTTGCATGTTGCTCGTTTTCCTGGCTCGGAAGACAGCAACTCCAAGGCTTTCCTCCACTTTTCCGGCCACTCGCCTGGCTTTGCCCCAATGCCTGCGGCTGCGCTTCCGCTTTCCCCGACGAAGCCGGCCACTGCCCTGCCCACTGCGTCAACACGACGAGTGTGGGGAGTGCTGGCCTAGGCTGAGAGTGACACCTGGAACTCCAAGCTTAAGCACTGGCTGGAAGTGAGTCGGTACTTCGGGAGGGTAGGTGTCGAGGGTGGGTGTCGACATCAACATGGACATGTGATACCAGCAAGGCTTGGTCATGCTTGTTCCATGGTTCATCATCCTGGACAAAAACCGACATTCATCATCCATCAATCATGAAGTGGTATCACAGCACTGTGGCGCCAGCAGGGTGGCTCGTTTTGGCCCCAGGCAAGCGACGGGCGACCGTGGATGGTGCTGATGTCGCAGTAGAATCGAAGCAAAGTACCTTTGGAGCGGGATACCATGAATCGTTTAATCCTACCATGGATATAGTTCAGTTTGTGATGGTGACGTTGATGAAACGGTTCATACAACATAAAGAATGTGCATGAGAATAAGGAGACCCCATCCAGTTTTTCGACCCCCGGCCACGAGGGATCTGCGACAGAATTTCTTGTGGCTGGAGGGATCTGGAGGGTCCTATTCTGAGTCCAACGCATGTCCATGGGTGCTCCACGAGCGCTGCGAGGTGCTGCAAGGCGCAAAACCCGTCGCGCGCTCGCGTGGTCCGACTGATCGAGCTCGATTTCCGGAGGAAAAAGCTTCGGCACCTGATTCCCGGGGACTGGACGAAGGTGTCGCTCACCGACTCAGGCTACGGGCTCCAGTCGTACCGGTAGGACCGGGGTGGGTGGGAGGGTCCAGGGTCATGCCTTCGCAGGAGGTGGCGAGTCAAGAGTCATTGGAGGTGGCGAATCGGTTTGCGATCGGGCCATGCCATCCACATCCATGATTCGTCTCGAATGGTGGAGTCTAAGTGGCCGAAGCACACTGTGGACGACCCGCTGCACTGTGGACGCCTGCCTTTGAGGCCTGTGAAAGCATCGTTCGAGCATGGCCGGAGCAGATGAAGGTGGGAAGGTCATTGGGAGGGTGGCGTTTGGAAGTGGCATGTGGGAATGAGCGATCACACCATATACTGTATAACACTGATTAACACTGTGTCTTCTTTGCGATATGTTCAGAGAGTCCTCCGCATGCCACTATCATCCACTATCTATTTGGGGACCACCGTACAAGAGTCATTATAACCTCCACCCCGTTGGGATGCAGCGACGTTGATGACTATGACCCCTGGCTGCTAGATCATACTTGTCAGCGAGAAAAACGGCGTCCACACGCGGCTGGCCGCCGAAGAAGAAAGAAGCCAATGGTTTCAGAGGTTGGATGCCACTTACATGGGGGTCCTTATATTAAAAAGACATTGGGGGATCGTGCCACCTAGTCTGAAACCACAGGACTTGAAGAAGCCCATTTCGATATTGGGTGGCGAGAGTCTACCGCTGATGTAGACTCTTGATTAGTACAACCCTCCCAGACATGGAGAGTACAACCTTATATGGGGGGCTTTCTGATTCAAGAGTCTACATGATTTGATCATTGGCAGTGTCTGGCGTTCTGAACCTGACGTGTGCGTGGGCTTGAGTTGCAGACTTAGCGTGGTCGGATTGAAAGGACTCCTGACTCACGTTGGAGCGCAAGTCCATACCCTCCAAGACGCGGACCCATGGACCCATGGGAAGTCACGTGGTTTCGGCCATGTTCCATGTGGTCCTCCGCAGGGCAGTCACTTGGCATCACTTGGCCAATGACCCGACCTACACTCACTCGGATCGTCTGGAGGTCGGGCCTGACCAACGAAACAAACAAGTGGAACGGGGGAACTGGACATGTGCCACCCATACCCATCCATCATAACACATACATGCACGAGGAAGGGACCACCTGATCCACTGTTACAGGGCAAACGGCCGTGTCCATCTACATGCAAATAAATCTGTATGCAAGTATAGTATATAACTGCGGCACAGAAAATGACTACCCGTCTTTCTCGAGTAGAAGACTTGAAGACAGTCCAGAAATTGAAGTGCGACCAGTTTCCTATTTGGATGTGTTTAAGAATATGGCATACGACATACGGTATATTGCTATACTCTTTATATATCTCTCTCTCTCTATATATATATATATTAAAATATATATATATGCATGTAGCTGTGTGTTTTGACGTTAAAGTGGTGTGAATCTGTATGCTGGTCCTGGTGGTCGGCATGACTCCAGCTTCCCGAGCAGAATCTCATCACTGAGCAGGCGTGCGACCCATGATTTGCCAAGCTTGTTTAGACTCTTGCGCATGTTTGGACTGGGTGCGACCCATGAAGTAAGATATCCGAGCTCTACATGACTCGCTAGGAGACTGTGTCAGCTTCCAAATCCTGAATGCTTTGCAGCTTTGATGCTCAAGTAGGAGCGAAGTCCTTGTTCATAGGAGCCGTTTCCAGCAGCTCCAGCACTTGCTTTTGGTGTTAAGCGCGTGTTCGATGAGGGCTGTTGTTTTCAATTGGAAGGTCATTGTCCATCAAAAGCGCCGCGGAACCGCTCATTACTGTAATTCTGCTGCATGCAAAAAGCTTGAACCAGCTTCCACCCGGAGCTCAGAACATGACCTTTGTCATTCAAGGAGTGTATACTTTGCACCCAAGTCACACGTACGCGTGCTCGGCACACTGGGTCCAGATTCAGTGTAGTGTAATAGAAGCAGGACATACTTTGGACAAGCTTCAGACAAAATATAAGAAGACCAAGCTTTGAAAGTCACCGCGGAGGTGAGAGGTGACCCCAGACCTTGGGTGTTCAACCAAGTCGAACGTCGTGAGACTCCAGACCTTCGGACCTGCACTTTCGGCATCCCCGAAGAAGTGAGGCAGCACAGTCCAGCTGAGCACGCACACACTCGGGGTTTCAAGTATACACGGTCTGAATGCTGCCACACGGGTACGCCTAGGTAAAGTTCCTGGGCAAAAGGAGTGCAACGAAGTCCCACCATGATTTCAAAGCCAAGAGCCTCGCGATGATTCCAAGGGTTACACAGTGCCACCCAAAAGCAGAATACAAGAACATCGCGGCAGTGCCACCCAAACAATGGCAGCTGGGATGTGGGGCTTTGGCCCGGATGCAGCTGCCACCTCTCGACAGAAGGACACGAGTTCGTGGCACGCGCACGACGTCTTCGAAGAACCGCGGAGGGTGAGTGTTCGTGCGTGGATGTCGGCCCGGACGTGGGGGCATTGGAGAGTTACACTCCCGAAGAGACCCACATAGACCCTGGCAATGGTCCCATGGAAGACTATTTTCCTCTACCAACCAGGGGTTTTCAGGTTCCATGTTAGTCTTCCAGAGTGTACTGCTTTTGCTTTTGCAGATTGCATGTTGGATGTGTTCTGTGGTTCCACAGGGACCTCCGTCAATGCTCCTGCCCAACCGGCGCAACTAATTTAGGGAAGGTAAGTCGCTGTGTGGAAAGACTTGAGAGACCTTAAACCACCTGCTTAGTCTTGAGTTGCAACTCAACAACCAAAAAATCAGAAAGACGTGCTGTTTGGAACTCATCCCTCGCTCCACTGCCGGGGCCGGACACCTCTTTTCGGACACTCTTTCGCTTTTCAAGGACGCGGCCTGGGCCACGGCGGACGCGTGCCCCGTGGAGATTCGAGGCGCCACAGGGCAGCCACTTGGCGAATTGGCTGGTGGGGGTGGTGAGACGGGCTCCTGGCCTACCTTCTGAGGTTCGATGTTTATGGTGGATGCCCTGGCGGGTCTGTGCCCACCTCCTTAGGGGGGCAACACTTCTCAACCGCCAACGCGGCGGTCGCGCGACGACATAGATTCCACCAGCTTCGATCCGATGTCAGGTTCGGGGACGCTTGGACCAACGGCCTGTACGAAGTCGACGTGACCCATCCCGACGCTCGTAGAGTGCGACGAAAGGCGACGTCGTAGGGAAGGACGGTGGCTGGATCCAATGGAATCTCTATGGGGGGCTCATTCCCTTAGTCTCACCAGTCGTGCTAGGGGTTCCCCACCTGAGGGATCGTCTGGAGGATGGGCGCCCCTTTCGTCCCCTTGCTGGGGGTTCATTCCCCACCAGAAAGGGCTCGCCTTCGACGCGGGGGATCATGTTCTTTGCTTGGAAGGGTATTTTCCAGACGGAAAGCATGCATATGGAAAGATTGGAAAGAAACGATAGAAGTTCCAAGAGCACTGTGAAGGATGGCCCTTGGACGGCCGTTGAATGTCGCCACTTCTCCTACGTGCGCATTTTGCACACGAGTTTGGAGTGACCAATTCCGATAGGTCCAATGCATTTTAGAGCTTGAACGATTTCTATTTACCTTAACAGTGTCATCCCTGAAGCTGCTTTAACCCAGGCCGGTGTCGCTGGATGCAGACACGAGTCGGCGAGCCATCCCCGATGTGAACAGTTGGCTGGGACTCCTGAGTTTCCCATGGAGTCCGTAGTTTTGCCACGTTTCGCCGTACAATGACGTGATATGAAGTGCCTATAAACGCTCAAGCTCTCATGTTTTTCGACTCATTCTGCACGGACAAAACACCTCGGCCGTACAGTGCAGCTTAAGCATGTGAAGACGAGAACAGGAAGATTGAGTCCTTAGATGTGCATCTCATCGTGGGCCCCTCAAAGAAGCACCCCAACGCCCAACGCGGGGGACTTCTGGTGCATGCCGCATAATGCGAGTTAGGCTTCTGGTATCTTCATGTATCTTCCGGCCTTCATCATAACCATTGTTTATTTGGGGGGCATTTGGTGACGCCCCCAGTACACATGAAGAGAGGGAGAGTTTGGTTCTCATGGTCCAGGGATCTAACCGGCGAGTCCGTCATCGTCGTAACCAGCGTGATCGTAACCAGCGTGGACCGAGGAGATTCCACCTGTGTATGTGCTGCAAGGAGGGCACTTCGAGCGCTTTCTCTATTTTGATGCTGAGCACTATTGGAGAGTTGGCAGCTGCGAGTACAAGGATCAGGACATCCGAGCATTGTCAATGGCCGATGGCCCTTTCACTGGGCCACGTTCCACTGAAAGTGCTTTCAGAGTAGGTAGCACAATCCCCAAAAGGTGGTTTAGAAAGACCACCAAAAGATATTTTTGTGTTAGCGCCATCTACTTCTGAAACCACTGCACACTCCTCAATCATGGTGGAAGTGGATGGCATGGCCCTGAGGACTAGGATGACCCTGTTCCAAGGACGAGTGGGGGGCACAAACCTCTGACTCACGCTCAAGACTGTGTATCTCCCCTGATTTTTGAACAAAGACTCATCTAGGGGACATACCTGCGCGTGAAGTTCGGAGAGCCTGGATTCGAGCCTCCCAAACTGCGAGAGGATTGAACCAGACCCAAAAGAACTGCAGTTGGATTGATTGTGGTCTCCCATCCTCCGACATGTCCCAAGATTGTCGCACACCAACAGTGGGTTCATCGGCTATTGTTCGATACACCACCTTCATCGGCTATTGAATTGAATTCAGGCACTGCTAATGAGGTTGAGATTAGCAACAGTGACCAAATGAATTGCGGATAGCTGACCCCTTCGTCATGGCGTTTTGCAAAGCAGCAGACAGCCAGGAGAAAGCCGCAGCCGGATCGATGCGCAGCGCTGAGAAGGTGGGTCATGGTGGATCAATCAGGCTGTTTGAATGTTTTTTTTGGGGTTGACACACCTCTAATGGGGTAGGCCTTCATGCATTGATGTCATTCTTGTGTGGCCCCTACAGGGCAGTCTAGGCAAAGTCTCTGGCTTCAACTCCTTGTTTCAGTTCTTATACTCCCGAAAACTAACATGAAAACCACTGGGTTGGTAGAGGAAAACCATCTTCCAGGCGAGGCCAGGACGTCAGGGTCTATGTGGGTCTCTTCGGGAGTTCTTCGGTGATTGAAAGGGGAAAACTTGACTTCTTCGGTGCTCGACGGTCTCCGTTCCAGTGAATGACCCCTCCCTCCTCACGGGACCCACGGGAGTCCGTGCGCCGGTTCTTTTGGAGGTGGCGGGCGTGTTTCAAAAGCCTCGTTAGTGTACTAAGAATGGGTTGATGAGTGGCGCCAAGTAGTGCAGACTTACACGTCAGGATATCGGATGTCAGCAAGGGCGGAAGCCCGAAACCCATCAGAGGTAGGATGATCGGTACCCAGCGAGTAACCAGAAGTCACCGGATGTTTCCGGTGAGGAATGGTCGGCATTGACAATATTGGTGCCTTAATGAATGACACTGCTTAGTTAACATAGATAGGGTTCACGGTATAGATGGATGAACATACACCTGAAACCATTTCAGGTGACGCATCATCTTCTGACAAGTCGTGTCAACCCCTCCCCTGACCATCCATGGGACTGGAATCACTGTACTGACATGGATCATGAAAATCATGGGGTAAATTTTGGGTTTGTCCCACTACTCATTGACTCATTACTGAAGCTAGTTGAGTTTACTCATTACTCATTGACTAAACAGCCGAGTTTCACAAGCAAATCATTCTTTATACACCCCATGAAGTAACTACCCGAACACTGACCCAAAGGACCCGGTTTTTCCGCCCCGCCCAACCCGTGGGGTCGGGAAGGGAAGAGAAGAAGTGGTGGCATTGGATGGGTGGATCCACCTGTCAACATGGAACCTGAAAATGAACCATTGGAAGATGATTTTTATTCTACAACCCAGTGGCTTTCAGGTTCCATGTTAATTTTCCTGGGTGATCCTGGCTGTAAGCTTTGATGTCTGCATCTTGATTCATCAAACCCCCCGTTTGGATGGTCGAAGCTCTTCATATGATGGGGTTGAATGATCATCAACCGTCGGGCTGGCGCTTGTCACGACCATCGCTGGTTGATGGATCTCAGGTACGCCCTGGCACCTTACCGACGCAAGTGGCGGCCTGGAGCGTTCGCACGGGCTACGACGAGTGGCTGCTGCAAGACGTCGAGGTCCGGGCAACGGCGAAGGCCGTGGAGCAAGGTCTTGCCGTTGGTGCCGCTGTGAGCGCCAATGGAGCGGGTGAAACGAAGGGATACAACAGATGAGGGGTGCCAGTGGAGTATGAATGAGTATCAGTATGAGGTTCTTGCATTGTGGCCCCGAATTTGGAAGTATATGATTTTCCTGTGACCATGACAGCAGCATGCTTTCTAAATCAATGGAAATTCAATGGAACCAAAAACTCGAATATATAACATTTGTCTACCGGCATCTAGTATGTGAGCCTTGGCACACCGAGATTGGCAACCCTCATCTGTTCCAAGCGTGTCAGAACATGTCAGAACGATCATGAATGATCAATGTACAGTAATTATGTACCTGGTTTTCTCAGTAGGTCCCAAGCTGAAAACTACGCTTGGAGTTTTGATTTTGCGGCACATCTGGAGGCAAGGGCCTACTGACTTAAACCAGTTGCGGAAGGAACACCAACAAAAAGGCATCGAACCATGAATTACAGTACCTTTGAAGGTTGGCGCTGACAAGCCACTTGGTAGAAGAGCACGTCGAGAATTCCGCTACCACCCTTGTTCAAGGGTGCGTCCTTTGGTGAGAAAATCCTCCCCTCCATGAATATGCGTGGTGTGCTTCAGTGCTTCATCCAGACCTGCCGTATCCTGACTCAGTGGACCCGGTTCTGCCGCGAAAAGAGCCACTTGGAGGTTGAGCGGATCGGGTCCACCGGGCCGGGTCCCCTGGCCCCTTGATCGGGCAGAGGTCACCAAAATGCTTCAGTCAGTTGAGGTCACCTGTCACCAAAGGCATCAGAAGTTCAAAGAAGCTGTTCAAAGTATACATTGCCATTGTTGTTCACAACTTCGATTCAACCCATCATTTGTGAATTGTGGCGCATGTTTGTGGAGTAGGCCTCGCAAGACCACAAAACCTCAAGCTCAAAGCCTAGACGCCTCACCACTGCAAATTTGTGAGAAGGATCAGGAACGAGCAGAGACCACACGAAGCTGTCAGAGCTCCCAGAGCAAAGACATGCAAAGATCCATAGACCCGTAGCAAGCAGAAGGGGCCACATCAACAGGCCTGGGGGCGATAAAATCGTTTCTTGGACCAGGCATTCTTGGCTCAAACCTTTGCGATCAGCGAGCTGGGACGTAACACAGCCAGGCACCATGATCCTTGGTCGCAGGCAGCGGTTCTACGGCTCCGCTGGGTTCCCTCATGTGACAAACACATCGCATGGTTTCGAGGATGGCATGTTTTTTTTTGGAGGACTACTTTCCTTTACCAATAGGAGGTGAACTCCACGTAACCATGTGATGTGTTCGTCGGAGTGTAAACTCAAACAGTGTTAAAAGTCGGATGTTCTTAGAAGCCACTGTGGTAGGAACACTTTGAACACCAAATGCACCAAGCAAACATTCAATTGTGTTTTCTGTAGTCTATTGGGTCATGTCCTTCGTCCACCATGTTTTCTTGGGCACACATTGATGGGTTCGGGTTCTTGGATCCCGGCAGCTGTTCATCGGTTTTCACCGTAGTCACAAAAAAAGCCCGACTCCATCCATCAACTATATAACAATAATATCTTGTTTGTTTTGGTGACTCGATCCATCAACTAATGATAATGTTTTTATTTCAATGACATTGTGGGACTCCCCCATTCTTTCTCAACATCAGATCTTTGCCACCTTTCGGCGTTCTCTTTCTCAACTCCCACCTCCGCCCACTCGCCATTCCTCCACCCGCCCAGGAGGTCATTCCTCTCCATCTTGGCCTTCATGGCTGTGCGCGCGCAGGAGGACACTCCGCCTGCTCCTGCAGAGCCGGTGCTTGAGGCGACCCCAGAGGCGGCACCCGAGCCGGTGCCGCCCCCACCACCCCCGCGAGCGCCGGCACGGGCGATGTCGGCGTCAGCACCGCTGGAAGGACGGGGTTTGAGAGCAAGTGCAGCAGATGTTTTCTCAATGAGATCCCCACCACCACTGGCAAAAAGGACAAGCAGCAAGGAGGCCAGAAAAAACCATTGGCCCACGGGCTGTCCCCGTTTTGAGCCAAACCCAATGGTCCTATGGATATAGAACATATATGACCACACGGCGCGACTCGTGTGTCGTTTTTGACAACGACTGTAGGTAATCAGAGGAACGCGAGCGCTGACGCCTTGATATAAAAGCTCCAATCAGGAAATTGCATGTCATATTTTTCTTGCGGTTTCAGCTGCTTTCCGCCCCTTTGAGAACGTTCATTTCTTTTGGTTAGCGTGGTTATACTATCGTTATGTACATCGAGCCATTGGTCGTTATAGACTAGCTTCAGCGATTGGTCGTTGTCACTGTACGGTTTACTATCGTGTCACCAACCGTTTGCATCGGTCGCCGCCCGCGGGCGAGGAGATGAGCTGATCGCATATCATCGCCACTCGGGTTGGACAACCGAGCCGCGGGGTGGTCTTTCAGAATTGGTTTGAGGGTTTTGTGTGCAGGAAACCCATAGTTTTGGATCGATTTGAGGGTGAACATCGTGGATTTCTATTGGTTTTTCCCTTTAACAAATCCATTGTTTGGTCTTGGGGGGAAGGCTTCTGTGTCAGTGACAGGCACTGAGGGGTCAACGTTGGCAGAAGGAACCAAGCTGAACACCTCGGGTTGGCTTTGGTGACTCATTCATGGGGGTTTCATGAAGAATAGACACCGCCTTTCATGGAGCTTTTGTAGTTCATGGATATGATATACTATAGAGCTATCGAGATCTTTCTCCCAAACTCCAAGCCCGCGTGGTTGGCAAGATGTGCTTACCGTCTCTATATATGCGTATGATGACTGGACTTATTTTCCCAAGGGCCACCAGCCAGGAGAAGGCACCCAGCTTGTTTTGGGGGGCTATGGAGGACATGGAAATTTGGGAGGCATAGGAAGGTTTCAACAGAGACTACAGTGGGGGGCGGGTTTGTCATTGATGTTCTGAAAATACAGGTTCTTGACATGTTTGTTTCCGTTTCCTGTTCGCTCTCATTGCTCGGGACTGATCGCTCTTGAAACTCGGCTGAGCTTGGGTCACAGATTGCCTATATATATCCCTAAACTGAACATCTACTGTACTGTAGCTATAGTAGTTAGGAAGGAACTATGGAGCATACTGAGTATCACCATGCATCACCACCCGTGATGTGACTCAGACTTCAATGACTGCGGCTTCGGAACTTTGGGGGGCTCGAAGCTCAGGGCCGATGCTGATGAATACCCAGGAAAATTGGATCGCCCACAAAAACCTTCTTTGGGGAATTGGTGACATCCCAATATGAACGGGTTGGAGTTCGTTCGGTTCACCGTCCGTCGTGCTGTCCAATAACGTTCCGAAAGAGAGAAATCCATCATCCATGCCCCTCACAATCCTCCAAATCATGGTGGGCCCATACTGGGCCGAAACCTGGGCCTGATCGAAGATTCAAACAGCCCAGGCGACAACGAGTTGAAGGCTCTCACTGCGGCAGGCGCCGACGAAACCGTGCCGAAGGTAGATGCCCCGAAACCGACTCGAACGGCCCAAAGTTCCCCAACATGGTGAATTGATCTCAGGCTTGGCCCAAGCATGATCTTAGGAGGTCTTTGGCAGAGATCTGGAGGTCTTAGGAGGTCTTAGGAGGTCTTTGGCATGATCTTATATAGGAGATCGGAGGTCGGCAGAGAGCCTGGAGATCTGGAGATCGGGTGATCTGGACGGTTGATGAAATCCCCCTGGGACTGGAGATGTAAACTGTAAAACATGGTAAAACCATTCAGTTTCAAGGGGTGTTTGAGGGTGTTTGATTCATTCAGTCTGCATTAGACTACACCACACTATGGGCATCCAGAACGGATTGTCCATGAATTTGTGGCATCCCTTCACTCAGCCACAGTTTGAGAAGAATGACGCTCAGTGATTTTGAGAACCATGGCAAAAAGATTCATGTAGGCTGTTGGTGTACAAAACCATACAAAACCCAGTATGGAGACGTACGTAAGTCCATTCTTGTGGGGTTTTTTGGTAATCAAATGTAACTAGTTTTTCAGTCTGGATTATTAGGTATACTTCGAACCCTGGTTCAGAACCAGGACGCCCCCGAAGTCGTTCTGCTACGAGTTTCGCAGGTGAGCTGATCCACTTCCGATCAGCTGATCGAACACAGTTGTCTCAACCACAAAGCCCTGCCCCAAAAAGGCTCCGGCCACTCGTCGGCTCCGACCACTAGTGGATGGTTCTTTGAGAGTCCCGAGCCCACGCAGTTCGCGGGTGCTGCCGTTTGGGGGTGTTCTTCTTGCCCCGCTTGGTGTGCTGGCCCTGGAAGAACCTGGCCAGTGCTGAACAGGTCAAGAACTGAGTGGAATTGGGTGAACTAAGAGCTGGTTGAACCATGAAGGCGGCCGGCCCTGATGTGCTCGGGCCTCCAATCTCCGCCGGGGCTCCGTCCGACTCTCGGACTCTGTCCAGGCTTGCATGGCAAGAAGGGCGCCTGGCTCTATGGAGACTACAAGAGCCTCAGCGCAATTGTTCTTCACCCGACCGTGGTGGCATTTCGTTCGATGTTCCCGGAGGCCTTGTCTTCACTCTGACGAACACATCACGTTACGTGGAACCATGACCCCGAAAGGAAGACTACTTTCCTTTACAACTAGGAGGTGAACTCCACGTAACCATGTGATGTGTTCGTCGGAGTGTATTTCGCTGGTATATGTCGCCGGTCTTTCGATGCGCGCAGGTGTTCCGGTATTTGCTTCTCAGTCTTGTCGTGCCAGGGTTTCGGGAAGGGACGCATGCTTCCATGCGGGGTTTGCTGGGTTTCGTCCTTTTCATTCACAGTTGGGAAACTCACACCCATTGAAGGACGCATGCCTCTTCTGGGATGGCTCACTTGAACGACCGAAAGGTTTGGGCGGCACTCCTTTGGATTCAGCTTTCATTCCCCAACCCCAAGTCTTTGATGAACAAGCCTTGCTACAAATGTCATATTGTATATGCGCAGGATGATGGGCCAGGACTGGGATAGAGAGAATGCAGAACGACAAAACACATGACATATCGGACACCAACTGTTGCCGCATCCACCTCTCCAGCTTATACTCAGTACCTTCCCCTACCCCCCCTTTCAAGGGTTTGAGGCTGAGAATAAAGGTTGCCCCAACTGTTGGCTGGTGCCAACCCCCACGATAAATTTCATTGTGAGTGGCCTCGCATCCTTCGATCCAGGAACGAGGTGGAAGGCATCACGACAGTCGTGGCTTGTGCACAGGCTTGCCAGGCCGATACCAATTGCTTCTTGGAGGATGGGTGGGTGGAACAGGCTTTTATTCATGCCTGTGAGGAGGTGAGTGAGTGTCATTTGACGATCCTTTTTTTTGCAATGACACTCCTCAGTTGGTTTGCGCCCCTTTTTCTATTGGCAGCTTAGCAACTGAACTCATTTGGGACATCGGCTCTGCACGGACTCGGTGGCGGCCCTAGGCTATCATTGGAACTTTCAGGTGGAGAAGCACCGGTGCGACTTGAAAGCTGAGCCCTTTGGCGCGTGAACCCGAAACCTCTCGGGTTTGTGTGGGAAGGACCTTAGGAGATGGGTTGGGGTGTCGGTGATTTAGAATATTCCTGGGCAGCGGTCTTAAGGGCCGAGGGCAGCTTTGAAACCGATCTAGTCCCGATGTATGCTAACAAACCTGCATGGAAAGTGCATTATGCCGTCAATTCGTTGTTATTTGTTGGTATGGGGGCGGTGTGGGGCGGGCAAGGTGAAAGAACATTTCTCAAGTCAAGTCACTTGCATTGATTTGTTGGACCCGCATTTTTGAATCTCTGGAGCTGCGTGATGGTCGACGCAGCAGTGATTGTTTTGATAGGTTATTGAATGAAGTTTTGCAATTGAATGAGCAGTGGACTTATTTCGATGTAATACTGTAACAGCATCATTATCATCATCATCGTCATCATCGTCATCAATCATATCATCAATCATCAATCACATCATCATTCATCACCATTCAATATCATTCATCATTCCTCATCGTCACTTTCATCCTCATCCTCATCGACGAATCGACGACCAAGATGATCAACTTCCATCATATTGACCCCGATTGTCGACTGCACCACTGGTTTGGTGTGATTAATCTCTTAAGCTTGAAAGCAACCCTTCAAGCTTACCCACGAAATTGTTTTGGACGACGCGCGCATATATTCCGCCATCGAGTGGATGTCACAGCCGCAATGTTCGTGACTTAGTTGTGGACCTCCTTTTCAACAATTTTGCGCTTGTCCAGTTCGGTCGTGAAAGCAAGGAACCAAACCCAGTCTTTTGACTGGAAGTCTTGAAGACTGTTGCATGTGCTGTGACACCATGGAGACCTGACATACATTGGCCACTTATAGATGCGGGTGACGGGTGGTAGTTCCTATGCCCTGTTGCAAGCACCTTCCCCAAGGATTTCACATTATGAGTTCATATGATTTTGTTTTGGATCATCCCGAAATATCCCAAACACCAATCACACATCACAATTTTGGTAGGCTCCCAGTGGCATATATATATATATAGAAAGATAAAGTCATTACATATATATATATATTAAACAAATAACAAGTTGTAAAGTGGAACAAAGTCCTGGAATCCTGGATCGGGGGCCCGAATCCTGGAATCCTAGTCCAACAGACGGGGGGGATGTTGCTGCGGATGCTCTGAGGAATGGGGGCAGTAACGAGGACATTGCGGACTGGGTTTATGGTGATGTGCCACGGCCAAGCAAGAAGTCTGATGAAATCTGAGATGACCCGTGTCGAACCCAGAATGCCACTCCGTATATTTGCCCTCTCATGAATAGCATTCGGATTTCATTCATCCCATGGAACATAGGCAAATCAGCAGACATGAGATCATGGCATTTGGGCAAGCGGGACAACTTGTCCCGACTTTCAAGTAGGGGGTGCGCTGGAAAGTTGCTTGGGGCTGTGCATCTTGCTGTGTGGCTCTATCACACGCCAAAGCTGGCACCTTCTTAGTACTAATATCAAGATGTATCAATCAGGTCGATATGAGAACTATATGCATCCTCGGTCACGACCAAAACGCCAGCCCCTGGAGCACCCTGTGGATCCCCGAAGCGCTGACAACAGTTCAGCGGACCAGCGGACTTGTGTTGTGCTTGTACTTGGGAGCAACCTGACGACTGAGTGGAAAAGAAGTACGCAAACGTTTCCTTTGCCTCTCCTCGTCCCTTTCACGTGGCAGCTGCCATTCTCTGCAGCTCGGAGTTGAATTGTCATCGCCAGGCGGCCGAAGAGGCGAAAGGAGATTCCCGAGGCCGGCGAGGACGATCAGGACCTCCAGGCGGGCGCGGAACCTCGGTCAACTCCTAGGGATGCAGTCGCACATTCTCAGAGGGTGATTGCAAGACACTGTTATGCAGGTGGTTTGGAGGGTCCAGTCATACCAAACCTGAGAAGATACGACTGGATCCCTCGGGAATGGCTTGAAGAGTGACCTTTAAACATCCAATTATGGGACAATACTGGCAACTCTTTTTCTCCACCGAGGTAGACACAACAATATCAACCATGATAAACACCCGTTTTGGTGTTTCTTTGGTTGTGTTCTCTCCGGGCGAATTTTTTCCCATCCAGATGACTGTTTGGCGCGTGGGGATGCTCAACTGGACCGGCATGCACGCTTGCACGCTGGCAGTCACACCATCCAAAACGGCGGGAGGTGTACCTACCAGTCCCTCCAGATCCACTGGGATCTACCAGGATCCACCAGGATCACATTTCAGACCAAACTTGGGCGAGACATTTCAGCTGACATGGTCGATGGTCCCTTAGCAAATCGAACCCAACTGGTGCCACTTTCAAGCCCCCCATCTCGCGGCCACGGAGCAAGGACGACGGCGTGAAGGACGAAGGAAGTGAGGTGGCCTGTTAGAAGGACGCGGCCTTGGAAAGCCATGAGGATGCGAAAGTACCTCAATTTACCTCCCTAGGGCTCCAAGTACCTGCTCAGAAGGTAATTGGACCCTCTAGACCCACCCCAATCACCTTCTTTGAAGGTACTTGGAGCCCTAGGGTCTGAGAGAATGTTTTCCCAGGTGCTTCAGAATCCAGGTCAGTATGCACCAGTTCTCACGTGAGGCTTGTTTCAGGCAGCCTGTGACGCGCTCATGTGACCCCGGCCTTGCCACGTGAGAAGAAAAGAGCACGGAACGTCCAAAAGCGGAAGGCGTTCACGGACGCGAACGCGTGTGTCGGTGGAGCAGATGTCCCGTGAGCAATTTGGAGTGAACTGCTCGGCTGATTTTGGGAGTCCAAGACGATCTCTTTTTGACTTGGTGACCCCAAAGGAAACTTCCTTGACTTCAATGGGGCATGGTAGGACTTATAGAGGGTGATGTCGTTGCAGGCAGGGTTCCTTTTTGGAAGCTCTCTTGTTGGGCACCCAACAAGGTCGAACACCAAGCACATTTAGATACATTTAGTGATTTCACAATGGATGGCACAAGAACAAGCTTGTTGAAGAATTAGATGCAATTATATACTGTAGCATTAACTAGTCCTCTTGATTCCTAGAAGAATCTCCTTGTCATGTATGTTCCTAGATTTTTTTTTAGTATGTGGTCATGTTTGAACAGAGATTGCCACTACCAGTCGTTCCTCCGATCTTGGAGATGAGAAGGCGTTGTAGTGACTGGGAGGTCGGTGACCCTAACACCCTAACAACATGCTGAGAAGAACCCGAGGAAGACGTCACGGTCTCCCGCCCTTGGTTTGTCTGCTGCTTGTCACAGCTGGCCCAAGCGCACGTGAAGACGCGGTTGAGACGTGAATGAGACACCTTAGTGGGGTCCTGGCGGTAGCCGCGTAGGCCAGAGAGGACACCCGAACACACGGTTTGCATCAATAAAACATGTGGGTTTCCGTGGCGCTAGCCCTTGCCGCTGTCAGCAGATGTAAACCTTGAAAGAACAGATTCGCACTTACCCGCTGGTTGCTTTACCAGACCTTCGAGCTCGTAGCTGGGATGTACTGGAACGCACCCGGGGGAAAGGGATCCATCAACTCGACATTGCCCTGCCAAGATCTAGCTCGCGTCCTCAAATCCAGACGTTGGATTCATCTCAGTTCCACTCCTGATGGATTTTCCGTATCTCTATGAATCCATGTCACCCAGCACTCAGCAAAAGAGCCGCTTCTGATTCACCGCACCCGGCCGGTTCCGGTTGACCGATTGACCGATGCCGCCACGGCTGTCGGAGCGGGTGCCCTCACCGGCGCCCTCGCTGTCGTCCTCACAGCAGTCGGTGGCCTCTTCACACCGAGAGAAGCCACATGAGGCGCGTCCACGAGGGGACGTGAAACGGGGCTGCTTGGAGAGGTGGAAAGGACAGTGAATGGATTTGGTGGAAGGTCGGTTTCTTGGAGCTAGTGAGGGTCACTGGAGCACCTGCAAAAGCCTTTTTGTGGGAGGATTGGGAACACACACACTTTGACATTGGGTTTTCAGTTAACTCAATTCCCCGAGGAAAGGAATGGCTCAACGGAAAGGTGAGGCGTCCAAGCACTTGAAGGCGTTTCAAAAAATGGTTTATGCACATTTGCAGAATCGCAACGGCAGCTCACGAGCGGCTGAAGGCGGCGGTGGGAAAAGGTTTATGGGAGGTATCGTGAAGAAAAACCATGGAACCAACGAAACAGCGGCAGGGTGGACCATTGGTGTCAATGTGTGCGAAGCAGGTACGTTAATGTGGCGTCCCGGATTGATTTCACAGACCAGTGCCGGCGTCTTTGTTAGTGCCAGACTTGCACGGTCCCTGGCACCCCCTGCTTGCAAGGTGCAAGCAGCAAACTCTTAGGGACAGAGTGTGGCACACACAGAGCGCCGATATCGGCGCTCCGGAGGAAATTACTAACCACCTAAAAAGCTTTAGAAAGAAAGAAAAAGAAAACACAGAAAGGGAAACGCAAGGGCAAGAGAGAAAAATAGGTGTAGTTACGAGGCCCATTAGTTACGAAACCTGCTAGTTATTGAATACTTAGCCGCATGAATTAAATGCACTAGTTAGCGAGCGGGACATTAGTCTTAATTAAGCCGCTCGGGCAGGAGAAGCAGAAGGAAAGGCACCGACACACACAAGTGTGTCGAGTACCATTTCCTTCTGTTACCCGGCCCTAGATACGGGTGGGATAAAAGTGCGAATTCGGGTGCAAGGTGGGGGGGGGGGTGCGTGGATGTGTGTGTGTGTGACACACATATATATGACCGTAAGCCCGGCGGCATGGAAGTTCCGTCGCAAATCTGTGAAGCCCGGCGGCTTAGATTTTGAGAATACAGTGGTGAGACGAAAATCAGTTAAGATAAAATTCAACGTGTGCAGAAATCAGCAAAGTCTGTTAGTGGTAGTCCGGCATGAATTCAGCGCCCCAGTGACGGGGATCACAATGTGCACCCAAGTGGGAGGGCACAGCGGCATACGCTTTGACATTGGGCTTTCAGTTAACTCAATTCCCCAAGGAAAGGAATGGCTCAACGGAAAGGTGAGGCGTCCAAGCACGGGAAGGTGTTTCAACAAATGGTTTATGCATGTTTATGCACATCTGCAGAATCGCAACGGCAGCTCACGAGCGGCTGAAGGCGGTGGTGGGAAAAGGTTTATGGGAGGTATCGTGAAGAAAAACCATGGAACCAACGAAACAGCGGCAGGGTGGACCATTGGTGTCAATGTGTTCGAAGCAGGTACGTCAATCCGGCGTCCCGGATTAGATCGCCAGCCGTTAGTCATAGGCATAGGCGATGCATGGACCAGGCTGGCCATTTTCAGCATCATTCCAACCACTCATCTATTTACTAGACCCAATGGCACGAGGATGTTCAGTTGCTGCATTGGGTACATCACGCTGATTGACAGCACTTACCCATTTACAGGAGAATGTTCATGAATTCAGTTGCTGTATATCAGAGTTGGAGACAGTTGGGAGTTAGATGCTGGATGCATTGTATTTCTTTTGACTCCCCCCAAGCAAGGCTCTGGAGATCTTCGCGTGTTTTTGCCCGGAGCCAGCATGGTGCCAAGTCCAACACCCTGCCCACATGTTTGGTATACCCATGTAATCCCATATATATATATAATATAATGGCCTTGGTGTTGCCTGTGCTTGGGGAAGCCTGGTCTTCGAACCGTCTTCCCCCCGGGTACACGAAGTTGTCGTTCGACGTCGCAGGGCTCCAAGACGTCGTCGCTGTTCCCTTCAGCCTCCGAGATGAGTCGTACTGCTGCTCGGGTGCAGTCGCGGTGGGGAGAGTCTCTTTTTTTTCTCGGTTCTTTGCCATGATGCAGGTGACCCAGGGTGATGTTTTTTTTTAAATCTCTCTCACTCTTTCTCTCCCTCTCTCTCTTTTCAGAGTTCTTCAGGCAGACAAGACGTGCACGATACTGCTAGCCTTCAGAGACAGCCGCTGCATGCCACTGCCAGCCAATCCGTTTCCCATGTGCTACCTTTCCATCGCATTTCGGATCCAAACACACACTGGACCCAGCCATGGCATGGTTGACCACGGCACGGGATCAAGCGAAGTTTGACCTTGGAGGTGCCCTGTCCCGGTCCCTCCAAACCTCGGGATTGGTTCGGCCAGTTCGACCCCTCCAGAGGATTCGGGTGCGACCCCTGTGTTGAATGGAGGGTCCGTGAGTGTTTGGGTAGCACGTTTTGCCAGAGCATCTCTAAGAAGATAATATGAAGTGAGTTGGAAACACCCGCGTTACGCGAAAGTGAAAGCCTTTGTCACCGAGCTCCATGTTGCAAACATCGGTGCCTTTCCCTAACAATGGTTTCCATGTGCCGATCCATGTTTTTTTTTGCATGACTTTACCATGTTTTTCCATGGATTGGGGGATGTCCCATTATTTGCAACAGTCGGTCGACAAGCTTAATCACGACTTGGTCTTTAAAAAAACATGCGGCCCAGCCCCATCATCCACTGGGCCCATGGTAATGGGCTATGACATGCTATTACTGATCTACCTGATCCATGGATGCTCTGGCTTCGTTACTCGTCAGCACCCCTTCGTTGCTCGTCGTTGGATTTCACACGCGTCGGACTGGTCGCCGATGGTCTTCATCGGCCGGGGAGGCCAGAAAAATGGCGGTTGTTCCATTGGTTTTTAGGAAATGGTCATATATGAATCATATTCATGGTATATAGCCATTCTTAAAATCCTATGGCAGTATAACCTTTTTTTTAGAATTTTTAAGAATCATTCTTCAGGCTTCCTGGCCCCGGTGAATGCGCCAGTTTTTCCCGGTGGAAACCGCTCTCGCCAAGTCCGTGTCGCCGCTCTCGCCCTTGAGATAACTGGGTGAATCCCCCACCTTGCTCAGCCGGTTCTGATCCCTATATATATAATATATATATATGGATCCACATACCTGCTCAGTGGAACCTATTTATGCAGGCTTTGAGGGTCCAATTACCTTCTGAGAAGGTATGTGGATCCATAGGGGATGCATGATGTATTCCATTTTGCCCCGGAATGCCTTGGAGCAGTGCTTGAGGTCAAGGCCAAGATGAACACACTCACTTGGAAGCGGAAGTCCAAGAAGGTCACTCGACCGTCGACCTCGTCGTCTGCATTTCTTCGACTCGACTCGAGCTGATGAGACGACGAGACTTCCGTGGCCACCAGTCTGGTTTCCGTGGTTCGTGGCGTCTTGCTACGGTTGTGCAATGATTTTTTTAGAGGTCCACATGGCTCTCCATATGCCAGGCTCCACTCGATTCCTGGGTGATCAAGTTTCGGGCGACAAGCGCACAAGCGAGGTATTCGTTGACTCGTATTCCTCCAAACCAGTTGTGGGAACCTCCTTTTTTGGAGCAGCTGGGGGCATGTTTGTTTTGTTTGATCAGTCAGGTTGGTGGGAATGTCTACTGTACTAGAGCTGCCTTGACGAGCCTTTGTTATCTTTGTTTCTCCGAGCAATCTTTGTTCATTATTTTTCTCGTGTTGCCTTTCTTCAGGCAGTGTCCCTGGATGGAGGCTGGCCGAGCAGCACCTGCACCTCTTGTGTCATTTGCATCTCCCTGGGGGTTTGATTCATCAACAGCCTACAGATGTTTCTCTTCAATCCAGGATATGAAATGCTTCATCTAAATATATCCATATATATCCTATACTATACAAAATCTAAATAACACCGCCCCATCTGAGGAGGTGGGTTCTGTTGAATCCAAACGGGGGGGGGGGGCGTGTTTCAGCGCCAACATCGCTCCCGACCTCCTCGACGTGCCGCGACCTCTCCAGGTTTGGCGGCCTCGGAGGTGGTGCAGCGGACAGGACACCTCGTGACCAGGACCGGAGGTCCGGTGGGGCCCTGGGTGGGTCCGATGGGGCAAGAAGTGAAGGAAGTTTGATGTTGTGAATGGTTCCAACTCCTTGACATAGGCATGGACGTGGAAAACCACCTGTTTGTAGAGGAAATCACGGGTCATTCAAGGGGCCATGCCATCCATTTCCATGATTATTCAATCCGACAACAGGTGAGCTGTGCCTCCTCTCCTCATGGGTCCAGTCACCAACCTCAGCCACGAGCGACGATGTGTCAGGAGCCACAGCGTGAATTCCCAGCCCTCGCCGTCCGAGACCCAGGGGGAGACGGTTGGAATGCAGGGAAAGGACGAAGAGAGTAGCTGAGAAGCAGCTACCCAGCTAGCTTGGTCTGAAGGGAACACCAGTAACACAAGCTATTTATTCATCCCAAAGTCGGCATGAAGTGATATGCACTGTCTATTTATCTTTGAAATAGATATTTCACCATCAGCAGGGCTGGACACAATTTCAATGCGTTTGGCGGGGGAACAACTAAGTAGTTTCGAGATTATTCGAGCATCCCGACGAGAAGGCATGACTTGCAAGTGGGAGAAATTGAGGATACGGCATTGTGGATAGCCCCACATTGAGGATACGGCATTGGGGATTTTTTTGCGTGCTTTGGACCTCACCAGGGATGTGCTGGTGATTTTTGTGGGCACGCACCAGAGACCTTCATTCTGGACATGGCGAGTCTGCTTGGAAACATTCGAGTTCGAAGAGTCTCAGCCGGGAAGACCCTTTTTGGGATGCACACGGCGTTCGCAGAACTCCGTGGAGCAGAACCAATCGTCTTGTTCCCCTTCCCAAAGGGCGAAAGTGACGAAGCAAGTTAGGTTGACTGAAAGGTTTTAGTAAACTGCCGTGAGTGAATCGATAAGTCACAGTCCTAAATTCTCCGGACTTACAGGGGGCCATTTTTTATCCCAGACACGACCTGTCTGGGACTGCCATATAGTATGCCGCCCCATTGACCCCGCTTTCACCACCCCTGGCTTGATCGGCAGTCCTATGGCAGTCCCAGACTGGTCGTGTCTGGGTATCGGTGGGCCGTTCGGCCCGCGCGGGCGTTGTTTCGCGCCCCCCCCCCACAGTTGACCTCGCTCTGAGGACGTCACCTGTCCAGAATGTGGTGCCATTCAAGAGTCAGTTGCCACTAGGCGCGTGGGTTTTCGCGGCTTTCGCAGTTCACATCCTTTGGATGGAACATGTGTGAGGCTCTGGATGGCCCCTGCACCATGGCCTTCACCAGGTTCATCAATTCGACCCGAGATGTTGCGCCATGTGGAGCCTTTTTTGGTTGCGCGCTCTCAGAAACTGATCTGTCAAACTGGTGGCTTGGATGAAACGCTCCTGCAGGTTCCAGTGATTTTCCCTGACCTTGCTGGCTCAAGATGGTTTGGCCCCAAGATGGGCCCTGAACAGGCCTGATCACGTGGTGATCACCCCAAATGCGCACATGGCAGTGGAAGTTAGTTTCTCAACTTTTCGACCGTCCAAGTGTTAGCACGTTAGCACATCACCCCCTCCAACTTACAACTCTCCCTTTTGGCAATCCCACCCATCGCCGGCTGACCAGCATCCACCCCCCGGACAATTTGAACAGAAGCAGTCAACAATCTTCCACAAACAAGCAGGAGTCACAAAGGGATTGTTTTTAGTCCCCAAGTGAGTGGATCATGGGCACCCCTATCCTCCAAGTTCGGCACCGAAACTCCTGGAGCCACATGGAGCCACACTGTTCTCCGCCCATGGATGCTCCTGCCGCTGGGCAGTACCGTCGCATCAACGTGCCGCAGAAGGGGCGCCCGCCGTCGCCGCCGCCGGCGCAGCTGCCCGGCTGCGTAGCAGGACGCTTCAGCAACCCCGGCGGCGCGGGCGCGTTGGAGTGGCACCTGGCGAATGGGGCGCCGGTGCGGCGGCGTTTGAGGAGTTCCTCCCCAAAGGCACGGGAGGGAGACTTGGCGGATTTGGGGGTGAAGCTGCCACGGAGGGGATGAGAACGCTGAGGAATGGGATGAAGGGTGGAAGAACATGCGGTAAGACCATCGATCCATATCGATCCCACAACACTTGGACTTTCACCAACCACACTGTGTGTCTCCAAGAAGCGGGTTGAAGGATGTTGAAGGTTAAAGCTGTAATGGCTGATGATTCGAGTGCACCCTGGTCTTTTCTGTGTTCTTACACAGAGACACTCCGTTCCAAAAGCGATCCAAAAGCGTTGAACGGGTCGTGCCCTGACACGCAGCGTGCGAATGGTGAGATGGGCCAGCAGGAAGGTCCTGGTTTCGAGGATCGTGGAGGCTTCCGAAGTTCTCACAGTCAACCACCTTGCCGATCGTTGCCGCCTTGCCGCCTTGGGAGAGATGATAATCAATCCGGTGTTTTTCTAAGAGGGTGGCCGAGTTCACGGAAAAGCCTGCGAGTGTCCCAATACCCACCACATCCCACCATACACCTCTACATGTATGAAAGCTAGTTCATAAATGTTCATAATAATAATGCTTATAGAAGCCAATGTCAAATACATTTATGAGCGAATGGGGAGCCACATTCTTTCTTTGGTGGGCACAACTTCTGAGACGACATCTTGGAGGAGAAAGCTCGATCCTACGCGATGGTACCAAACGACAGAGCCGCTTTCATTCAGCTCAGAGCTGAGGACTTTCAGACACATCGAACGCACAACGCATTTCTGGTTCAACACATTTTAGACATGCCTTTCTTGGAGTATTTACGGTATTTAGCGCCTGACTCAGTGGTGGACCGATCCATTTCCGGTCGAGTCGGTCGGTCTCAGGGCTTAAAGGCTCGGTGGTCTTGGGCGTCACTCCACGGCCCTACCACAACGAGGAGCGAGCCGTCAGGCGTCTCCACCAGGCGCCAGGCGTCGATCCCAGTGTCGATCCTCAGCGAAACGGAGGGCAGAACATGAAAGATTGCAGCTGGTTTTCAGAGCCCAAGGATGGCACCAAAACCCTCCAAAACCCAAGATGTCTTTCAAGGAACTTGTTTTTACAAACAAAAATGGACAATGTAATTGTAATTGTAAAATATTGTAAATGTAAATGTCCTATACGTCCACACTTCGATGAGAAAAGGAAATCCGGACATTCTTTTCAGTCGGCACATGTCGGCACAGTCCCCACGATTAGATACGCTTAGACAACGGTTCAGCTGCTGAGGAAAAACAACATAGCAGCTGCCTTTGACCGCTGAGGTGTCCTTCCTGGGGCATACACCATGTCCTATCTTGGTAATAACGATATTTTTGCATTGTCTTTACAATTCCAAGCGGAATGCGTGCAAATGTCAAGCCACACTACTTTGCACTATTTCACACTATTGCAATATTTCACAGGTCGTTGAAGGCTAAATCACCTTTCAGGGATTGCGCCACCTACTACTCTGAACCAGTGCCAAGGGCGCTTTCAGGCTGTCATTGGTGGGGAGGTGCCAGTAAGTACCAACGCTCCATGCGACTGCCATAGGACTGCCGATCAGGCCAGGGGTGGTGCCAGGGGGGCCAGTCCTATGGCAGTCGCATGGAGTGTATGGGGTATAATTTGTATAATCATGTACCCAGACACTCCATGTATGCCATATATGCCTACATTGACCCCTCAAACCACCCCAATTGATCGGCATATATGGCATACATATGCATACATGGAGTGTCTGGGCTAGAATATCCTAGAATCTTAACCCAACCGACAACCTATATAGAAGCAAAGACCGGAAACTAGTCTTCCATGGGACCATTTTCAGGGTCTATGTTAGTTTTCGGGAGTGTATCATCTTCATCCATCCCTTGGGGTTGCCGATCTCCGAGCCGCGCGGGAGGAGAAGACCGCCTTCACCTTCGATGCCGCTCCGGCGCTGGGCGGCGTGCGCGCGCGGTCGCTGAGAAGGGCTCCTGAGAGGCGGAACCTGGCGCCCAGCTGGAGTAGCTCAGACGACCAGGGCGTCACGGTGTGCCGAAGTAGACCCCAACCGAATGGGGTTGAGTAGTCATCTTGCGTCTATTTTTACATTGTTCCCGATCACTCTCCTCTCATCAGGTACACTTGTAAATGACAAAGAGTGGTTCAGAGATGTGTTTGTTTTTTTGCTGTTTTTGGGGTTCAACACCTGAATTGCGGCACCTAGCCCTGGACCCTGGCCTCCTTTCTCTGCATCTCTTTGAGAGTTGATGGGTTCAAAAATATCCTGGAAAGTAGACAGCCACAACTCTAAACCCATTCGATATTTTGCATTTATTCAGTCAACATCCTTTATATAACCTGTTTTTGGCCATGGATTGGGTGTCCCCACTAAACACACAATCTGGTGAAAAGGATAACCTCGAATCAGAAACAAAACGCCCCAACCATTGTTGCTCGGTTTTCTTTTTTCCTCGGACACTCCGCCGAGGTATGGGCGAGAATTTCCCCCCCGCCGCGACAGAGGCATGGCTCTCACCCCGGTCACGGCGCCGGTCCTTAAGCCCCAGAGCTTTGATGGCTGAGATCCTCAGTGGGGAGGCGGATGGGAGGAAGGGATCGTGATGGGGAATGGAATGGGAACGTCAAGGGGTTGGTGAAAGATTGTTTGATCTGGGGCCAGATGATGCCAGACATGGCTGTAGATCTGCACGGATGGCCAAGAGGCATGCCCCCTGCTGCATTCGCGCTCTTTGCTCCAGGCCCCTTCGGACGCCCGGCGCCTCCGCGGTCGCCCAGCGCCCTTCCGCATGGCCGGAGTGCTGCAGCGACCGGTCGAGACAGCGGCGAAGCCGACCCTGCGCCCTGGACTGAAGGAAGGACGGGTTTTTGATTGTGGGAGTGGGCAGGCGGGAGAAGCGAGCTTGTTGGGTTAAAAGAAAAGGGGAGGGAGGCTCTCATTGTATCTTGCAATATGTTCATACATATCTAGATGCACCTGGCCACTGGGCACAAACAGCTGCCTTTTCAGGACAAAAGGCCGTGCTTTTGGTTGTAATAAAGCGGATAACGAGGTGAGAACCACACAGAAACCGTGCCTTTCGGCGTCCTCACGGCATTTTTCTCGATTTTGAGCACATGTGTGCAAGCTAGTTTTGATTTTTTTTTGAGGTGACCCCATGAACTTCATTTCATTTCATTTCTATATATCAATTGGGCAACATATAGTCGTTGGACTTCTGGGGGTACTTTTTTCAACTATACAATTTTACCGTCTAAATTTACACATACACGTAATAAATCAGGCATGACGGTATGTTCATCTTCTAATCTATGTGCACATAACCTGAACTTATTCATTAGTTGAACTCCTTCGCCACATCATATTAATTGTCCTTTGCTTCGTGCTGTTCTTCGTCTTGTTCATCAGTCTGTGTTGTATACTTCCTGCCTCCTCTCCATTGGGCAAGGCAAGTATTCCCAAACACCAACTTGAATGGCATGTGGGCGTCGCTTCAAGCACTCGTGACACAGTCGCATGGTCAGCTTATGCCACCTTGTAACAGGGAATGATGAGAAGAACGGCGCAAGATGCGGCAAAGGAAGAAACAGGTTGGGGAGTGTCCAACAATTACCTGTGACGGTCTGTGGCCCTTGGAGTCCGCTATAATGATCATAACGATGAATGGAGGTGCTTGGGCCCTGGACGTTCAACTCTACTTGGCAGTGTTCAGGTCGGAGAGTATTTGCTTGTCCTGAGTATGAGAGTATGCACAAACATGCAGGAGTCGCAGAATAATGATAATGATAATGGTCAACTAAAACATTTCTAGGCCAACACCTGCTGCATTTTGTCACACCCGATTATAAATTGTAATTTATCCAACAAAAATGTGTGCACCTTGTCCTGGCCCAGATTGAGACCTCGCACGCGCACGTCCGTGGCAGTGGCAGACAGCTCGACTGTTTGTGCTGCACAGAGAGAGAGGGAGAGAGAGAGGCGATGGGGAGAGGCAGAGGGAGAAATATAGATCGAGTCCCAACCCTCATCCTCCCGCACTCAAGCACCTCCCCAAAAGCAAACACTTGAGATGTCCTTCCAAGTGACAGCGGGGGGAGGCCGGTGTCACGTTTCCGTGGCACGGCTCTGAGGCTCGCGTCCGATGCGGCCTCCCCGGAGCGCCGCAAGGAGGACTTCGCCGCCGCGATGGCGGCCGCGCGGCCGATCATGTGGTTCGGAGAGGCGCCACCGGAGGAGGAGCGCTGGAGCCCCTTCAGCTGGAGCCACAAGCCTTTGAGCAAGGTGTGGTGGGGAGAGGCGGTGTTTGAGGTGGGGAAATGGATTGGAAGATCGACGAAACTGAAGCAGCCTTGTACATGCGTGCGTCTTTTTTTGGGGCACCAGATGGTACCAGGTGATACCAGGCTGGATTCGAATCCAAGGAAACAACGATGGATGGACAGGGGACGTCTCATGGTCCACCATCCCATCCGCGACCGCCCACGCGCCCCAGGCGGGCGAATTCTCGCCCCGGAGGGCTCCGTTCCGCCCGGCGGGAGACGAGCGAGGAAATGTGCTGAGCCCGAGATCGCTAGACTTGGAGGGCCGCTCCGTGCGGAAGGGACTATGCTCACCACGGGACGAGCGCCGGGCGCCCTGGATGGGTGGAGAGCCCCTGGAGATGCGCGGGAAGAGGAAGGTGAAGACGGCGCCGGAGACAGGGGGCATGTCTGCTGCGCTTCAGTGGCGTGGGTGAAGTGGAATCGTGCGGAGATTTGCCGCTTTCGATGGCTTGCTGTGCAAGGGAGGGACGACAAGGTTTCGTCCGACATTTGTCTCTGGTACTTTCCAGTGACGGATGTTTAGAATACATTATTACAATACTTACGAGGAGGTCATGATGTCAAGGTGAATTCTCAAGGAATTCATGGAACCCGTGCTGCCGGCGGCTTGCGTTGGGACCAAGTCAGCTTATTTTGCGCGGCGACGGACGGGACGGGACGGCCCTCGAGTGGTCGGGACAGAATCGCGAAAAGATGCTGGGCAGTGGGGGAGCAGCTTCGGTGGGGCCAGCATCTCACAGCAACAGCGTTTTGAACATGGTTTGAACATCGTGAAATTGCAGAACCAACTGAACACCCATCAACCGGCTATATGAGAAAAATTGAGAAACCAAACCGGAAAATACAGGATGGAGCCCTGCTTTGGTCGACCTTTGCCCGCATCCCTGCAAAACTGGCACTCATCTGGAACTGGGCGGGAAGAACCAAAGACCTGCCCTTGCAAGCTGGAACCATGCAGTCAAGTGGACAACCTATCAATGTCGTTTTAGGGGTTGGTTTCCCCAATGGATGTGAACGGATGGAAGAAGGATGAAAACGGTTATATAATTAATCAATTACAGTAGAAATCCTGTTTTCCATCCCTTTGGCAGTAGAAAACATAGAAAAAGGCTCATTCCCTGTCAGTAACCTTTATCTTTCCATGGAGACGACTTGAGAGTCAGAAGCCGTACGTAGGCAGTACTGGCATTTTCTACGCTTTGGCCAGGATCCCGATGATCCGATGAAAGCAACATCCAACGACATCCAACGATATCCGATTTGAAGAACCTTTTCATATGGGAACAGTCATTACGAAGTCAACCTAATAACCTAAATGAACAGAAACTACGTGTTCATACGGTTTTCATTTGATTCAGCCGTCAAGTACGTACAAGTTCTGCGATTTCGCACCGACCGCTGACTCGCCGCCCCGTTCGCACCGACGCGAGGCCAAATCTTCCGGCACTACCTCCGGTGGCGGAGGTGCTGCGTCGGTTGGACGGTCCGGTCGTCCGGTCGAAGGGGCGGTCGGAGACCCTCCCGGATTACAGCCTGTTCATTAGAGGAATTCAGTCTTCCTTTCGGGGCCAGGTTCCACTTCCATGTTTGTTGGATGGAGGGTAGTTGTTTTTTTTCCCGAAGTGTTTTTTTGGCTCAAAGTGGTGGGCAAATGGGTGGAGCAACTTGATGTAGGAAATAGTTTGATGTTTACAGGAACAATTATTTGGGTGGTGGTTTTAGATATCAACCTTTACTTGGGATGAACCCACTGACATCCACTGACTATCATATGTTTCCAGTGAGCTGAAACCACCACCCAAAACAATATTCCTGCCTTTCTGCATTGTGGGTTGGGATGCCCCTGTGTACATGACCTGCACTGCCAAGGTACCGTTGAAGCATGGTCAGCGCTCCATCCGCGGACCCTATTTCGAGAGTAGGGCCAAATGAGAGTTGTTTTCCTTTCCCCAATACTCCATGCATGTATGGAATATGTAAATATATTTACATACAGATGGACCCCAAGAAGTTCTAAATATGTTCAAACCACCCACATGTGGCACATGTATAGCTGAATGTTCCATACATGGATGTTTTAGGGTTGGGATACAATCATCCACTGCAAGCGTTGATATGCTACTGGGATCCATTGGGGGTTCCAGCTCGCTTTCCGGGTAGTGTTCGTGATCAGCTTTTGGAGGGCCGACGATCATCGTCAAAGCACCTGAACCCGAGGTTCCTGTTTAGCTGGTCTTAGCGCGACTGAGGGCTGACGACCACGGGAGTGTCCTAGCCACTTGCTAGCTCTTCTAGGCAGCCAGCTGATTTTGGAAGCTGTTCCTGGTTGGTGGTCAGGGTGTATGGTGGTGCAACATGCAACATGCATTGTCCACACAAAAGGTGTGATCAACCTGAATTTCCAACAAGGATTCCGAGTTCTGATTCTATGGCCACCCTAGAAAGACGTGAATGTGGTGTCCAGCTAAATACTAACTGAATGATGACATGTCTGCCTGGCCAGAGCATATCTATTGGTTCCACTAGACTGCTTGGAGGCCATATCATTTATTGGGTATCCTGATGTATCCTGTATGATGTTGTTATTTGCATTCAAAAGATGACACGTGACATGTACTGCCATGTCACATGTCGTTTCATGCCAATGTCCCATGCCCCATGTCAGTCCCATTCCACTGGAGTTCCCCTCAGACACTTCGGTGCGGTTCGTTTCGACCAGGGATGGCCAGGGCGAAGTGGAACGCATCCAGGCGAAGATCGCCTGGACGCCTAGCTGCGCCGGTCCGGAGACAGTCAGGGATTTAGGAAGCAGCGAGTCCGGGAGTGGTGCTTTAGGGGATTTGGTCTCGAAAGTGCATGAAACTGCGACCTGGAACATCCTGTTTGGGCATAGTAGTTGGCCGGATGATCCATTGGAGAGTTTCGTTGGCCCGTTGGATGGTCCTGGTATGTGAGTGTTTTGATGTTTGTTCAGGCTTGGACATGTGTGGAACATGAGCCGAATGGATCGTCCAGGCAAGAAAACCCGCCAGAGAAACCAGGCGGGGTTGGTGAACATCCCGTAGACTCTTGTCATTTGATGTCGTTTGAAGATTGGACAACATCTATGGTTGGGGTCGGTTTTCCCTCTGGGTAAGTGCAGAATGGCATAGTAATGGACAATATGGATAGCTGTTCCGGGGGCGGACCGCTCCCCAGAGGCCCCTCAGTCGCCAGACACTCTGTCCATCATTCAATGTGATTTTATGACTCCCTGACGCGTGTATAGTAGTATAGTGTATGTATTATAGTTTTTAGGTCCCCAAATGACCGTTTACAGGCCTAAGTGATCTCAAAAGAGGAGACCAACAGGTCACTTTGAAGAACCAGGTATGTATACATTCATGTATATCTAAATTATACTAATGCTAGTGTTTTGACTTGGATCCGGGTGGGGGGGCGAAGAAGAAGAAGAAGGGCACCCACCGGACCGAGCGGGGACCTCAGAGATTGGACCGAAGGATGACATGTGGCTGCAAGAGATGATGCTGGGCTGTGACACCGAGCTCTTCGAGACTGTCCGAAAGGCGAGCGTCACCGCCCGGCGAAGTGACGTTCACTGCACGTGACGTTTGCTGGCGAAGTCCGGTGTGACGGAGTGCTGAGAAATCCACCCATCAGTTGGCACCACGTTGATGAGAGGGAATCCGGGAAGAGTAGAGTCAGTAGTTTCCTGCATTCTGATGCCCAGCCTGTCGTGCTTTTCTTGTAAGCCAGACTTGGCATAGAATCGGAGTTGGAGCCCGTTCTCTTTCTTCAAAGAACGCCTGGGAGATTCAACACCGACGATCTTCGGATGTCAGGGTCGACAGGACATCGCAGGAATCGAGACATGCACGTCCGACGCTCTTTGTTTTCATGTCGTTACAAACATTTGAGAGTTACAAACTATAATTATAGTGAGTTGTTAGCACTTAGAATCTGCTCAGAACAATTACTTGCAGATAGAATACGCAAACCGTAGGTAGCGTTTGTATTCTATGTGGGTTCGTTGCATTTACCCATGACTTTTTTCCAGCATGCACTTAGAATATGACTAATTCAAGAAATCTTAATTAGTCCATATTCTAAGTGCTAGCCCATTACCAGTAAGAGCGAGTAAAAGATGATCACTATGTTTGAGAAAGGCCTTCACTAACCATCATCATCCACTGTTACTGGCAATGGGATATACCCAATTATATAAACCCCGCAAAACAGATGGAAAGTAGACAGCCTGGACCCACTGGACCATTCCAGGGGCCACGCCATCCACTTCTATGATTCTTGGAGATGGGGTATATCTAAATCCCATCCGAATCAAGCTCATCATTGAGTAGCGGCAGAGCAAGAAAAAGGCGGCACCCACCTACTTCGCTACAGCCAGCAGAGCACACAACCTTCCATCCCTCCACCGCCATTGGCGCTCCTCCCATGGCGCGCCTTCATGTGGCAGACGCCCGAGGACGCAGGACCGGGTGCGCGACGTCGAAAGCAGAAGCCTGGGAGCATCTGGGAGTCCAGTCGACTCGACCATGTTTAAAATGGTTTGACTAGGTGACCCGAGCTCAGGAATTTTCATGAATTTCTGCCTGACACCTTCGGTGGTCAGGTTCCAAAAAAGTCATTAAGTTGTCGAACTGGACTTCCAGGTAGAAGCGGTTGGAAAAGGACTTCCTTGACCCATTTTGACTCCATGTTTAGGACATCCCAGATGATCCGCACATGCACTGCGATTCTTCAAGTGTCCCATCTGGAGGCCGTCCCCTTTGGCATCTAGTGAATGTAGTGGTGGAGTCACATGGATCCACTTTCAGCACATTCTCACCGAAGGACCCTCCCACCGCGTCGCCGCTCACTCCGCGCCGCGGAGTCCCCGTCCCGTCCGTGGTGGCGACGCCAGGCGCGGAAGAGCAAGTCCGGGCCCAGGTTTGCAGCTGGAAACGTCGTCCCAGTCAAGTCACGCAGGCCGGGGCTGGGGGGGAAGATCGGATCGAATGGGATTGGCTGTGGATCAAGCATGTGTGGCCTCTCATTTTGGACTGGAAATCGCACAGCTGAAAACAACATCGCCACAATTCCCAATCGGGTGGAAAACGAATTTGGTGAATGCTTTAGATGGCGAAGTGACCAGAGTTTTCCGGCGGAAATTCGATGAAATGGGTGAGATGGATGTGACATGATGTGACGCATGTCCGGCTACTTTGTGATCGTGTTGGTGTTTTGTTCTTTAGTAAGTTAAGTAATTATCGGTGACTTTTGGTGGCTTGATGTGATTTCTGTTCCTGGACCGCACATATTACAAACAGGGCGTTTAGGACAAAGCAGCATGGCAGTCGTGACCCGAGCGAAGGTTGACAACTCTACCGGGCCACACCCCGATCGGCACGCTGGGATTGAACCATCTGGTGCATCCGCCACAAGACCATACCCGCAGGTGAATGGTGGTTTTGGTGTTACCGTGCGGCAGCAGCACCTGTCATTTTGCCCCAGGTCTTGGTGCAGCTCCGCCATGCGAAGCGTCCCAGAGCAGCCAGGTTTTTGTGGCCTGGAGCTTGTGCGCTAAGCTGCTTTTGGTTTGTTTTGCGATCGGGGTAGAGGATTGGATTGTCCAACTCGATTGTTAAAGCATGTCGAAGCCGTTTCGGGCGTTTTGATGCGTTTTTGCTTTTTTGACATCGTTTCTTTTTTCAAATCTGTTGGAGGTTGTGTGACCACAGGTGTGGCATCCATATTTAATCAATTTTAATCATATTTACATCTAAGTACACACACATATCGTATATACGTTGACGAAAATGTTATATATTACTATAATATATGTTACTCTTTATCTTAATGTAACTGCATATTTGCGGCTGTTGCAATTACCCTGGAACAGAAAGAAACTTTGCATCGTCTTGGGGCGCTCCAAGAACCACATTTCTCTTGTAAAAGGACAGTTCAACTTTGAGGTTGCCCATGTATACTATACGAGTTTCTATTCACATGCATATGTCGCACTGCAAGCAGGAAGACCTCCCAAACGACACCCTGGAAGAAGGAGAAATCGATCCGAACCGATTGGTTGGGGTCTTTTTAGGGAGACCCACTTGCACAAATAGCGATCCGCAAAACCTGGTGTTTGTCGGTTGCTTCAAACTTTGCTATAGACATTCTGATCAACCAGGCAGTGCATCCGTGCGTAAGGCATGAGACCTAAAACTAACAGATAGTCGCGGATAATTATCGGGAGAATAAGAACATAGAAACACCACTCTCCAGAGCTTCACATTCAATGCATAGTACCTTAATTTTAAACTTGATTTAGTGCTTCGTGCCCCAGTGCAGAGTTTACCAGCTTCACCGTCTAGTTCCACCGTCTAGTTCTTCATCCAGTACCACCGGCTTCCACCGGCTCGCAGCGAGGCTGCAAGCGATGGCTTCCGCGCGCTTGCCGCCCAACCCCCTGCACCGCGCCGCCGCCGTGAGCGTCTACGCTGCCGCGGCCGCCTGGGCGTTCGCGGTGGAGGAGCTCGGTGCCTGGGTGGCACTGGGTGGCAGGTGGCGGGACCTCTGCTTGCGAAGCCATGGAAGCGGAGTTCACCACCTCTTGGTAGAGATTGGTAGAGGAACATCGTCTTGCAAGGAGCTTTTAGGGGCCATGCCATCCACTGCCATGATTGTTTCAGGTTGTGAGAGCAACTGAGCCAAAAATAGAGACGCCCATCCCGGCGGTCAGGAGATACATCGGAAGGCCCAAGTTTGGGTCGCAAAGTCCGGGGACCATGCACACCTTTTATAGTTATAGGGACCACCTGTGAGGAATGAACTGGTATAGGGACCATCTGTCAGGAATGAAGGACCACCTGTCAGGAATGAACTGGATTCTGGATTCCTGCATGTCCTTTTTCTGTCACACGTGGACTGCTCCCATCGTCAGTCCTCAGAACAGACCAGTCACTTTGAGCGACTGTCGTCCTGTCGGTGCCATCCCAGTAATTTAGACGGTTGATTAATCAAACCTTGGACTCCAGGACTGGTTGGAATCTGGGCCATCGGACTTACAATCACTTCGAGATCAGTCCATTGATATAGCGGCCGAAATCTGCGCTCCCTGAAGTAATGAAAACCACCTGTTTGTTGAGGAACATCCTTTTCCCAGGGGCCATGCCATCCACTTGTAGACTGATGGCTCCAGGGAATACAAAACCAACTTCGTACCCTTCACCCCGATGCCGGGCACCCGTTCCCGAGGCCAAATCTCGAACTTGGGGAGGCGGGAGGGAGGGTTCGACTGGAGGCCTCCAAGTTCAGGGGCAGGGCGGGGCACGGGTTTGGTCAACCCGGTCGCTTTTCTTTCCGGGAATTTGGAACAACCATGCCATGTAAAAATCAAGTGTAAAGCACGAACTCGTGGGATTCAAAGCAGGAACCCGTCGGATTCCTGTACCAAAACCACTCCAAACCTCATGTAGATCTCTGCCACGGAGATCTGGCGTGATCTCTCACAAAAGCCTGGTAGACCACACATGGCCAGCGCTCCTCCTCTCTTCCCCTTGTTTCCATGGCACCGGACCTCGCGACATCGCTCAGCACATTTGGCAGCACCTACAGCACGGTGGCCTACAACAGCAGCATCACTGCACTCGAAAAGAGCTATCACTGGCAGTTGTCTTTGCCGCTGGGCTGAGCTTTCATGGCCAGTCGCATGTGAGTGGTTGCTACGCATTTGAGCCGCTAGGGCCGCTAGGGCCGCTAGGGGCGCGGGCTAGGCATCTTGTCTTGTGAGGTTTCCCACGCATCTAGTACGTCCTTTTCTTCTGGGCCCTTGTATGGTTGTTTGGTTGGTTTCTTGTTGATGCTGTGCGACACAGTGTGACTTGTCCAGTCTCAACATAATTCGGTTCTGGTAGCTAGTTCTCGATCGCAACAAGTGGAGGACGATCATGGACTTGTTTCGCCTGCTGCCCCCGAGAACAGGCCGTTTTCTGTGGCCATAATGCAACACAGCGACACTTCTTTTGCAAAGGCATTTCGTTGCAAAGCGGGGTGCAATGGTAGAGCTGATAGAGCGGAGTGCAATAGATTACACAGAAGTAAGGAGCTGATGAAGAAAGAACACATGACATGGTGGATCATGGAGGGTGAGCATATGATACCTATACCTCGAAACAGGACAAACATGTAGCCACAGTTACTGCCAGAGTTGCTCAAGCTAAGCCGATTCTAAGCCGATCCTACCAGAGGCTCAACTAGTAGCAGAGCAGTAGAGCTTAGGCGAATCCAAGACCCTACAAACCCTAGTTCTCTGTAGACCCTGAAACCCTCTTACAGACAGGTCTTGTCTTGGATTCAAGTAGAGCCCTGGGTGGGTAGCTTTGGGCTCTACTTTTCACCAAAAGCGGGGAGTGACCGAAGACTCGAAGGGCCCGACGGAGTGACGGAACGGAGTGGTGGTGGGGGAACTGCGGGTTGTTCGACTCCTTGGCGATCCATTCCCCAAACAGTGTGGGCACACTGAGGGGTTCTTACGGTAGGAGAAAGGAAGCTTATTTTTTGTAACCCGTGAAAAATGAAACTGAAGATTGCATCATTGCATCACGCGAGCTTTTGCTTGTGAAGGTCAAGCAATGTCAAGCATACCTTTAAGCATCCCGGCTGGGCAGTCTTGTGAGACTGAGCTGAAAGCACTGTAGTGTAGAATCACATTCAGCATTTATAAAGGTGGGGTTTCCAGTCCCCAAGTGAGTGGATGTGACAAGGGCCCTACCCTCCAAGTTCAGCACCCCAATATGGAACTCTTGGTGCCGCACCTTTTGGTGCATCAGGCGCCGCGCAAGCTCCTCCCCAAAACCATCTCAGGCGGCTCAGGAACTCCAATTGCAAAGAACCAATGCCCTAGAGACTTCAGTTCGACATCCTCGGTAACATTTCCTCAATGAAGTGTTTGGCATTGAGGCCCGCATCATAAGGTTTTTGGATGTTAGCGATGATAGTTCGAAGGTTTCAGGGCACGCCTGGACCAAAGGGTTATGCTTAATGTCTCTCATGGTCGGCACCCACAAGACTATTGGAGCAACGAACCCACGATCATCGTCACCCAAGCTTTTCAAGACAAACACGCTTGAGTTTGGTTCAAAGTCAATGGCTATCTCTGAATCCATGCCTGGACCACGAATCCAATTCGGGGATCCTCGAGGCATCTCCATCAAGAGATGGCACGCCGCCAGGTGCGCAAGGACCGAATCAACGGTTCTCGAGGGTCTGAAACGAAGCAGGGAAAGCACGCGAGAGACGTCATGAACCCTGTAGGGTTCCAGTCGCACCTTCTAAGAAGGTGTTTGGGGTGGGTGCCAGGAGGGTCCAACTACCCCCTGAGGAGGTATGTCATGAATTCTTCATCAATGATGTGCCCAGATGGCTGTTTTTGGAAGGGATTGGAGAATTTTGGAGCAGTTGGCCCGCACCTGGGCGCCCCCAACCCAATTCAGGACGTGATCTCCTTCAGCGCTGGTATCAGTGCCTTAGAGAAGGTGGGCAAGCCTCCGACCGGCGAACAGCGTCAAGCTGTTGGAAGCTGGCCGTAAACCATGATTGCTCGCCACTAATGTAGACTCTTGATTCATGGAATTGAAACACCTCATCATAACAGGGGTGTGACATCAACACAAGAGTGTACAATAATTATTCAGATGAAGGGAGGTGCATGCCTCGAAGATGCCTCGCATATTCAGTGTAAAGTTTGGGTGAATTTTCTGTGCTATAAAAAAATATATATATATATATTTGTGCTCTCAACAGACTGCAAAAACCTGGGTTTTTCAGGTCAGGTGGGGAGAGTCCGGTGAAACACAACAGTTTCAACACCCCCACACCCGTGTTTGGTCACACGGCTAGTCACTGATCAGCTGATCTTGCTGATGAGGCGGGCCAATGGCAGCGTGCCTTGACGCTTTTTCGCCAGCTGGGCCAAGAGCGTCTCAAGAAGGACCGGATCCTGCAGCTCGGGTGGAGCGAACGGCGGAGCCTGGCGCATGTGGCGAGGAACCGGTGGATCAATGTCTTCAAGAACCCAGCGTGACGATGACCAGCAAGAAGGGAAACCTGTTCGAAACATGGAGTTCTTGAGCTGTTGGGCACAGGTATGCAAAGATGGCCCTCTTCTTGTATGAGGGTCGCAGGGGAACATGAAATGGGATCGATGGAATGAAGAGGAATTCATTGTGGAATGGCACGGGTATCTTTTGACTCACTAAACCTGGATTGCTATTTTCATCTATGTTGCGCTTCCATGTTAGTGAGTCAGAGTGTCTAGTTCCTGGTTTCGGCCACCGGCACGATGAGTGGCGTCCGACTCTCGTCATTTGACTTCGCTTCCGAGACTTGACTGAGACCAGTGGTCACCAAAGGGCCTTGGGAGATCATTCTTGCAAGATGCATCATGGACTCACGGACTCTTGTCCTTAAAAGCTCCAACCCAAAATTCACACAGCAGGAGGCCATCATTCCAGCCTAACCAACCTGGTTTGGCGCCCAGGTATGCGGCCAGTATTAGTGCATGCGCATCTTGGCGGCATGTGACGCAGAGGACATGATGCAGAAATGCCCTGACCATGTACTTCACATTATCAAATGTATATTTACCAGGCTACCGCCTGCAGCCGCCGACCCCCAAGGGATAGAACCTTAGCGCTAGCCTTGCTCTATGTTAGCCTTAGCCTTAAGCCTTAGCCTTAAGAGTGCAGACCCAACCCAGCACCACCAAAGCAGGTACCCAAAAAGTCGACTTTTTGGGTACCATCGGACGTCAGCTCTTGCATGAACCCCGATCATTGCCCAAGAATTTAGACCCAACCCTTCACCACCAAAGCAGGTCCCCAAAAAGCCGACTTTTTGGGTACCTCCCAGGTTTACCATCGGACGTCATCTCTTGCATGAACCCCGTAATGCTGAACCCTCGTCCCCATAAAGGATATCATTGCCCAAGAATTTAGACACAACCCAGCACCACCAAAGCAGGTACCCAAAAAGACAAAGCCTAGAGCATTCCCAGGAAAATGCCAGAAAAGCCTTTGAAAATCTCATAAGCCAACAGAAAACGTGACAAAATCTACGAAAAAGCAAGGGCATTGGCCAGGACCATGCCGCGACCAGCCCGGGATTCGAGCCCAGGACCATTTTGGACCGTGCTTATTTTCCCGCGCGGGTCGAGAGGGTGCCCCAAGATGTAAATCAATTGGGATGGCAGAATCTTGGACAATCCACGGGTCAATCAGGTAGCTTTCCTGGAGAACTTCCGTCGCTTTTAGGGCCGGATTTCGTCACTGCAACAAGGGTCCGGAGGGGTAGGGGAGGTAAGGTCTAGGTCTAAGGCTAAGGACTAGGTCTAAGGCTAAGGACTAAGGCTAAGGCTAAGGCTTAAGGCTAAGGCTAACATCGACAGTCACGCCTCACCCCACGGTGTGGGGTCGGCGGATATTATTCTCTCTATATTTATGTATATACACAGACCCCCCCTTTTTACTTCTCACAGTAGAAAAGTTGATCCCCCACTAAACATTTACAATATTGGACACCGTTTCTATTTATTTGGGACCACTGACCACTACATAATTCTTGCCATCATCCTGGCCTCAGTCGTTGGTACCATTTTGGCACCTTCCCCATGAAAGAGGGAGCCATGAGCCAAGCTGAGCAGTTCGCAGCTACAGGGAGTTGCCACAACCCCTTGCTAGATAGGGTCCTCACTGGGGACACCGTCCTCTCCGGATCAAATCATCAACTCCTTGCTGGCACCTCAGGGTCGCATGAAAGATTACAGTGGCCGAAAGAGAAAGCTAGTTCTATATATCTTGTTGAAACAATGTCAAGAGCATGGTAAACCAACTTTTTGGCTGTTCCTTATCTACCCAATGTCATCACTTGCCTTCCAACCTTGCAGTTGAGGGGTCTAGTCATTGCCGTGCACACCCCGCCCCAGCGCCTTGTGCTGTGAAGAAGATGAGGAGAAAGGCAGTGCGTGGCAGCATGGTTTGGCCTTGTACCAGCTGTCCCTTGATGAAGGCACCTGGGCAGGATGTGGCCCAAACATGTCATGACATCAATTGAACTCATATCAAACCTGTGACCGGAGGGGACACCCAAAACAACTCCGCGCAAACCTTAGTGGGCTTGTCATAAAAGACATGCAGGTTGAGCAACCCAAAATAGATTGCCGCGTAGTGGCCAGATCCAACGGCGATGCTTTGACCTTTGCAGCTATGTGCAGCTATGTGTAAAACCTGGTCCTCTACCTCATTGAGAGGTGTTTGTATGACCAACTCCAGTAAAAATGAGGTCCAGCTGACCTGCAGGGAAAGTCTGAGCAATTTTCTTCTGAATTTCATGGATCAGATGTTAGGGAACCCCCCGTCGACTGGGTCGAGAGGGTCGGCCCGGATTTCGAGAGATGGGAGGCTTCGGCGCAAGTGGCCACTGTCCCATGCAGTGGTCCCCAAATAGATAGTGGCTCGGATTCCAATACTTGTTGAAGAGGGATGCTACTTTTCTATGTGTTTTTGTTTTAATTGGAAGAGGATGTTGAGCATCTCGGCTGTGGTCACCAGCGATGGTGCAAAATGTACAAACATGAAGGAACATGGACCCATCAGTCCCATCAGCCAAGATCATGTTGATTTCCTGTACCACTACTAGTAGAAGAGGAGCCCACTTTTGCCTGGGCCATCCCTCTGTCCTGGCCCAGATCATGGAAGCACCTACGTTGGTCTCGTGCAGGTGTTCACAGCGACGAGGTGATTTACGGTGCCGCCATCAGTGCCTGTGAAAAAGGCGAGGCCTGCCCAGCGAAGCCCCAAAGACCTTGCCCAACACCGGGGCGGTGACGAGGATTGTTCATGGGACCAGGTTAGGACGAAGCCTCCGGAGGCTAAGTGAATTGCGAGATTCAACGCATCACGGAGGCTTGTGCGGGTTCCGTTAGAACCTTTATGGATCATTTTGGGATGTCGAACTAACATGTGTGGACCGCAGCCCAAAAAGACGTGGGTGCCGAGACTGTTCCGAAGATTTTGACTTCCGAGGCGATCCTGTTCTTGTATCATTTTGTGCCCTTTCATCGATGGTCCATCACCCATGCAGAGGTGGGCACGTTCTCAACGGTTGGGAGGGTCTCGATCCTTCGAAGAATCACAAAAGAGGGTGTCTCAGAACTGGATGTCCCACATAAGATATTAGTTTCCACATGTTTCCACATTGACATACAGGATATGGTAATTTTTCCCATTGGAGGGGCAGAAAATGGCAGAAATCGGTGTACTCATTCCCAACTTCCCTGGCAATGTGCCTGCCAGGTCCGCGAGGCCGGCACAGGTACGGTGAAGCCGTTTCTGCTGTTAAAGCTGCACCCAAATAGGCCTCAATTTAAACACCGTTTCATGGATCTGATCGGGCTTTGGGATCTCCCAAAATTGAATCAGAACCGGTGGATCCTGAGAATCTCAGGAGGCCGTAGTAGCCACCGATGATTTGTGGGCAGGCGCTCATTGGAAAGGCGCTTTGGCCCTGTTCGATCGATTTGCCGTGGCGACCGCGCCTTGCTGCAGCGCCGTCATCAGCGTGCCTTTGGCGATCGAGTCAGTCAGGGATGAGGGGCCAGCAAGTCAGCTGACTGAAATGAATTCAGCTTACTTTCCCTCCTCATCCTACCCTCCTGCAGATTCAGATGGACCCTGAAAACCATTAGATGGATGGTGGTAGATGAGAATAGTCTCATATTCTTACAGGGATCCATTTTCATAGTCGATGTTAGTCTGCAGGGAGGTAATTGCTACGTGCTGTGCAGCAGTTGTAGCATCTAGACATCCGTCATTTGCCTGAGACCTAGAGACCTACAAGGCTGAAAGACCGAGACCTTATTATTTGTGCAGGGATTGAAGGGTTCCAGCCAGCACAATGAACGAAGAAAGGTCACTTGCTCTACTGACTTGCTTACGACTTGAATCTTGAAGAATCGGGGTTTGCTTTCCTGGCTAGTGGAAGTGATAGCAATTTGATGGGCGCAGACGGTGGAGCAGATTGGGATGTCCCCTCTTTGCTTTTCTGATCTTGAGGAGACATCCAAATGCGACTGGCTTGGGCAAAAATCATGGAAAACAAGGCAACCGTGCCCACCACGACCGTGCCCACCACCGTGCAACCAGGCTTGTGAGAAGGCGGCTCGCTGGCAGCTGGCCTTGCAGCTCCTCAGCGTCAAGCTGGCCTCGCTGCGCGACGAGGCATCGGTAGGGCGTGAAGTCAAGGGGATGGTCTCCGGCCATGTGCATGGGCTTCATGTTATGTTTGATTCTATTTTGCTTCATGATCTTCATGTTCATTGCTCATGTTTTGGTCTATCTATGGGTCCCATAGATGGTGCATTCCTAGTGTGGTTACACCCCAGGCAGCCCGAACTCCGAAACTAATCTCAAACAACTTCTGGAAAACCTGAAGCGTCTTGAGGGGAGTTACGTCGAAGGAAGGCCTGGCCCCCGAAAGATAAATTTTTCCAGAAAGTGTATCGTTCGTGCTGGTTTCTCCCACCCAATCCATCGCGGGCCACTCACGATCCCCTTACCGTCCAAGCCGACCAGCGGACCGGCGGACCGGCGGACCGGCGGACCGGCGGACCAGCGGACCAGCGGACCGGCGAACCGGCGGACCAGCGGACCAGCGGACCCGCGGACCGGCGAACCGGCGGAGTGGCGGAGTGGCGGACCAGCAGGCTGGCGAACCAGCTTCGGCGGACCAGCGGAGCAGCGACCAGCGGACGAGCGGACCAGCAGAGCAGGCAACGACCAGCGGATAGCGGCTAAGCGGACCAGCGGGCGCCAGCACTTGACATAGAGTCCCACCCTTCCCACCCTGGCCTGCGCCACCAACAGGCCAGCGGACCAGCGGAGATAATAATGGTGGTGGTGATGGGAGTTTTGGTTGTTGTTCTTGTTGTTTTTGCTGCTACTACTGTTTCAGCCCGGGACACTCAATGCGTCCTTGGTCAGGCTTCGCCTTGCTGCTTCGCCGCGTGGCGTTTTGAGGCGCGGTGGGAGTTTCGTCTGGCTGTACTAATGAAGTCAATCGCTTTGCCAACAGCTTGCTGCCTGTGTCGCCCATGGCATGAGCCTTTTCACTTGGCCGCATCGTCTTCTTTCATCCTCAAGCTGCTGGCCTTGTCTCTTGATTTCTTTCATCGGCGCATGATTGCCACCGCGGTCGAAAACATGACTTGCAAACATCTACCGTGCTTCTGCTTTTGAACCAGCATGCAAGTATGCAAGTTGCCATCGCAAGCGCGAGACCCGCAAGCCACCCTGCTATCAGCAAACATCAATCTAGCATTTTCTTTTTTTCATGCAGCTGCAATGACGAATCCACAGCATCAGTGCCATGGGGTCCTTGCGCAGGCCATTTGTGACGCTGACCCGGCTGCGCAAATTTCGCCAGAACTAGTCCATCATTTGGCGACCAGATTAGAACCGCTCTTCAACCAAAGGGTTGCTGTTTTCGGCCGGGAAAGCAAAGCTCAAGAATTGGTGCCGCAGCTTGTTGCTTGCCCTGGGTGCGGAGGACGGCTTGCTGAATGTCGGAGCTCCGCTGCTGCAGCTATCGTCGTAGATCTGTCGGGTTTGGTCCAGAAACAACACATTCCACTGAGATGTCGGCGATCCTCCTGTCCAGACTTTGGTGTGCTGCTGTGGTACAACTATACCGTGCGGAGTGGGTGCCATCATTTTGCAGGAGAGCTACCTGAGTTGAACTGCTTCATGTTGTCCGCCACCTTCGGCTTCAGTGTCCCCTGGTTGCAACAGTTTCACGTACGCATGGTGAGGCAACATGCGTCTTTCACAAGTGAAGCAGATGTGCTCGGCGCGCAGGCAGCTTACAATTCCCAGCTCCATCTCTTACCAACAGCTCGATTGCGGCTTCTCATTAGCCAGGGGTGGTTTGCTTGGCGTCTCCTCACCCGGGTGCACCAAAGCAATTTGGACCTAGCATCTTTTGATTTCTTGCGGCCCATGGAGGACATGATTGGCTTATTCTTGCCGCAGTTGCAAAGAGAATTTGGCACGACTACCTTGGAGGAAGCCCAAAAAGCCACGATGCGCTGTGACGTTGTTGTGCTCGATGGCAATGCAAAAAATCGTCGAGCTGTTTGCGGAGCCTCATTGGCCGGAGAAACTTTTTCCAAGGAATTGCGCCGGGTGGTCCGCCACAACTGTGCCAATACTCCCGCTTTTCGGAGATGCTTCTGTCCCGCCCATTGCAGTCAAGATGATCAATTCCAGACGGGGGGGCAAAGCATTTCCAACCGCAAAAATGGGTAAAGTTTTTCTTTTTCAGCCACTCTGCCTCAAGAAGTGACCATTCTTCAGCACAAGCTCATCAATGACGGACAGTGCTTGATGGTCTTGCTGAAAGAGACTGTGGAGCCTCAAAGAGAAGCTTGGGTATCCGATTCTGCAGTTCCAGCGTCTGTCCTGTCCAACTATTTGCAGCAAGTGGGCGAGGCGAAGTTGAAACCCAGCAAACGCCCACGGCGAGAAGAGGAGGCAGACGGCAGAGGCGGCTCTTCCTCATCGCTTGGACCTTCGATGCTTGCGAGTTTAACGTTGCAAGAGATTGGGCGCTCGTCCGACCCAACAGATTTGCAGTGCGTGACTTGCTGCACACACAAGGAAGGCAGCGCTGCTCAAAGGCAGCTTGCCAAATCTGCTGGAATGTTGTGCGCGTGTTTGTCTGAGGGTTTGATTTTGCACATGCAAGAAATCTACGGCTGTGAGTCGTTGAGCCAGAGATACCTATGTCTGGCGTCTGTGAAAGCCCTCTTGCCGTCCCTTCGCGTGGTGGTCCACGATGATGCTTGCCATTTGCACAAGCACGCGGCTCGTCGCGCCCAGGACGGAAACTCAAAGGGGATGACAAAGCCACGAAATTCTTTGGGCAGTGAGAGCTATAAGCACCGTGCTAGTGTTCTGTTGTTTCTTGCGTGAATGCCTTTCACGTTTTATATTGCCCATGCGCAGGATTCAGAAGCTGCTGCCCAGATAGCCCCGCCAGAGATGAAGTACGTGTGCGACAAGTTCCACATGGCTGGCCATACCGATGCTTGGTGTAAAGAGACGTGCGACCCAGCCTTGCCTGCAAATGCTTCTCTTCTGTCAAGGCATTCGGACTTCGGTCTGTGAATTCACTTTTACCTGGTTGAGCAAGTACAAACACCAAACCAAGCACATGAACAAGCACGGCTTCCAATTCTTCTTGCTCGATATGGCGTGGAGCCACAATGAAATTATACTCCAAGGAGGCTACAGACCAGAGGAGGTCGCCGGCTCTGCGGCATTGGAAGGGACCGACTGACAGTCTAAAGTTAAGATTTAGGATTTCAAGCGCGGCCTGTGCCTTATAGACTGGATCGAAGCTGTGGAATGGAAAATTCATGGTGTGTCGTACCCGCTCATTGCATCGACCTGTTGCTTCAAACGGCTACATATCACGCGGTACATGACTCTGTCAGTGCGCATGTGCAGATGCCTCGCTTTGAAACCAAACTGTTTTGCGTAGCTTCGACTAAGTCTGACTAAAGTGTTCCAACAAAGCCTTGCATGATGGCCGTGACAGCCGCGTCTGCTCTGAGCTCGGTGGCGCGGCCAAGCCATGTCGTCAGTTCTGGGGCCCTTGTCTGGAGCCCACGAAGACAGACAGTACATCCCTGCCATGAATTTGATGTGGGATGAAGTGGACAAGTGCTTCGACCCAAGCTACATCCTTGGAGAAGCTGGGCACCGCTTCTGCCAAACATACGCTGTTAGGGCAGCCCATGCAGAATTTCCTTACGCCCTCCACTGCTTGTCGCTGATGTGTGCTCTTGTGAACGGTGCCAAAGTGGCTGTCTTTGCTACCTCGCCATCGCCTTTGACGTTGGTTGCAATTAATGTCAACTACGCCCAGACGAGAAAATCATCCTTGACAGGACATGCAGAGGCTTGTGGGCAGGAGTTGGACGCAGTCATCTTGACGAACGCGGAGTCCAAGCTGGCGACATATTGTGTGGAAGAAGGCGCTCCTGCGCCAGTGCAGCACAGGTGTGAGCGGGCTGTTGAAACAGGGGGCTGGGAAGTTTTAGGTGTTGAATTCTAACCAAAAACGAGCCCGCCTTTTGTGCCAGGTTGAAGCCGAAGCTATTCTCCGCAATGGTTGCCAGCGCAACACCTGAGGAGTGGTTCCATCGATGCTCGGGCGATTGGAACCAGGTCCGAAATGCTGACAAGTTGCCCGGAGACTGGTCTGGCCGATGCTGGTTTGGCTTGCTGGGGAATTTTGATGAGGCCTACGACTTCCTGCTCAGCTTGGGTCTCTTGTCCGATGGGCCTGCATCCAAGGAGAAAGCCAAGGCAAGGGTGAACCCGTACCAGAGTGCCTTCAACAAGCTCTTGCAGTTTGGAACCAGCGCTCGCGCCACGAAAACGAATGGGAGCTATGGAGAGAAGCTTGCTAGAACCGTTAGCTTGGGGATCACTTGCAATATGCACCCTGCGCAATACATCCCTATGGAAAGAGGTGAGGTTGGTTGCCACGCAGCTTCCACCAAAGAACGGTTTGTCATCTCCACTGGCCGCCCTGTGCAGCCGCATGAAGACATGCCGGCAGATTTCTGTTGCCCTCCAGGACAGGTGTTCTGCGCGATGGGTGTTGTGTTAAAGCGTTTTAGATTCTGTAAAATCTGCTCACATTCTTTGCTGGATTTGCTTTGCGCAGGAGTTTCCCGGCACCGATGGGTTCCTCTCACAACCGAAATTGCGGAACTGCTGGGCATAGCCAAAGAGGCTGCTTCGCCAGATGCTGCTGCTCAGGAGTGGAAAGACGTTGGCCTTGAAGATGAAAAAGCAGTGCAGCTCACCCAGAATGCAGCGGGCGACTATGTCCCATCAGAAGATGGGTACCCTGTGAGGCTCTTGGATGGCAAGATGAGCCGCCTACGGTTCAAACGTTCTCCTGCGTCGACGTCTGGGTTTGAAGCTCAGTGGCGCGTTGCCAACAGAAGCTTTGCCATTCCAGCAGAGTGCTCCCTGACGGCCGCTGTCTCCCGAGTCACTGCCTACTTCGACCAACCTCACCAAGTCATTGCCCTCACTCCGGAGGCGGAGTCTTGGCACATGTCCTACCAAGGTGGAATGAATGTGCAAGCCCATCTGTCTCGCGAATCAGGGGATGTTCAGGGTGGCGCTCGCTTTGGAGCCGCTCCGTGGCAAGTGGGAGTTTTGGCGGCTTTGCTCCTGGTGTTTGAAATCTTTGTGGGTGCGCACAGTGTTGAAGCTCTTGGACGGAGGGATTTGCAGGTCACTCCAGATCATTGCCAAAGGGCCTATGCTCTGCTCCAATTGGTTTCTTGGCACTTTGTTTCTTGTTTGTTTATTTTCAAAAACCCAAGATCTGTGGTTGGCGCTATATTCGCGAATTCCGGTCCAGAAGCTGAAGCATATTGCTTTGGGAGATGCAGCCGCTAGCCCAGACCATTTTCGCCAGCAGCCAAGTCCGCAACCTGCTTTCGATTTGGCAACTTTGCGTGTTCCTTATCAGACGGAAGATTTTGCTTCGACCCAGCATGGTCCCGGACTTCGGCTTCCCCAAGCTGGCGAGGAAGAAGAATTTGAACTTGAACTTGAAGAAGAAGATGCGGAACCTGGGCCCAACTCGCTTGAAAGGCCCCCAGACAGCGTGGCCGAAGTCGTGGAGGACCTACCGCCCCAAGATCCACCCGCAGCGAAAAGCCGCTGGTTCTTGATGAAGTGCGGGCAAGTGATTTTGGTTTTGGCGAGAATGGCGTCACAGTCCAGCCTGACGGTCTCTTCAGCCGTCACTGGACAGACCGGGCAATCCTGAAGCACACCTTGCTGACCGGCAAGCCAAAGATGACTCGCAAAGAAGCGTGTGACAAAATGCGCACCAGCAGGGAACAGGGCCGCCCCAAAGCGCTTCCTGAAGAGAAATGGACAGCGGTCATGGCGGCAGCCGCAGAGCAGCATTCCAGCATCCTTCAGCTCCAGGGTGAGACTTTGTGTTTGAAAGTGATCCCAGACACAGCGCAGGGCAAGGTGAAGTACCACAATGAATTGATGAGGGCTTGTGGGCTGACTTTGCGGGAGCTGGTGGCCGCCATGGAGAAAGCATCCAGCAACCAGGAAAGGAAGCGCCAGGAAGATCGGCGCAAACGGCCCAGAGATGAGGAGTGAGCCGTTGTGGAGATATACAACAGTCGCTAAGGAAGTGTGAAAAGAGCTCATCCGCAGGTGTTTGGTTGTTCAGGCGCAGGCAGCCGAGTGGGTCCTGCAGAAACTGCGTGAAACCAATCCACCCGTAGGTATTCCACCCGCCGAGCCCTTCCCAGAATTTGGTCATGACAATCTAGATCCGAACTTGTCTCCCTTAATTGCAGACCTGTCAGCCACAACAGCAGCGTAGGCAGACCTTGCGCCTACACTGTGGTGCAAGACTAGCAGGAGCGGTGGCCAGGGATGGGGGCGTTGAAGTTTGGAAAAAGCAGGGTGTACGGTGTACATCAGAGATTCTGGTGGGCATTCCAAAGCATGATCACTTCAGTTCAATGAGGGTGACTTCTGTTACTGATTTTCGGCTTCAAGCCCCAGGTATAGGTGAGGCGCTTCCGTTCCGCCGCATCACCCTTGCAGGGCAGGCCCAACGAGGTTGATTGTCAGACGCTGCCTAACGTTGCTGTCTGAAGAACAAAAAAATCTTTCCATGTCCAGTTTATAGACCACCGGAACCGCAGACCGGACCACTGGACGAGCGCATCCATGAGAGGAGGGGACCAGCGGACCCGCGGACCGGCGAACCGGCGGACCGGCGGACCGGCGGACCAGCGGACCAGCGGACCCGCGGACCGGCGAACCGGCGGACCAGCGGACCGGCGGACCGGCGGACCAGCGGACCGGCGGACCAGCAGACCAGCGGACCGGCGGACCAGCGGACCAGCAGACCAGCGGACCGGCGGACCAGCGGACCAGCGGACCAGACAACCGCACGATCATAAGTCTCGCGGGCATAGTTTCTCCATCCGGCCGGTAGCCTGCGCCATTCGCGAGTTGGCAGGGAGAGGTGGCCTTGAGTGCTGCGATTAGTGCGTCTTGGGTTGCGATTTCGTTGAGTCGAGGGCGGCCATGAAACGATCCATGGCGGAACGCTTCGTGCGGGCAGCGTCTTGTTGGGGCAGTTCCAAGTCGTGCTGCCAGTCCCAGTCATTTCACTGACAGACGAACACAAGTACGAACACAGAGGATCATACAGGAGTCCAGGAGAATCGAAAAATTTCTGGTGTTCTTATGTTTTCTTGATACAATTGATAAGGACAGCCAAAAAACATCGGTTCCAGGAGCCACTGGGGGACGGTTTCTTGAAGTTGGAAGTTCAGCTTTCAGGCGTGCAGGCCTGTTGGAAGTTCGTCGGCGAGTCATGCTGCTGAAACAAGCGCAGTTGACATTTAGACCGAACGGTTGATATTTTGCAAAGTGGGTGTCTATATGTTAGTAGGGGGACCCCCAGCCAATAGCTGTAACCGTATAGCTTATCACGAAGGATTGTTCTCAAAAAGTGAACACTTTCAGATTTCCGCCCCCAGTACCCACCGGTGACAGGCAGAAAATATACGGGGCCGGTCGAGGGAGGCACTCGCTTGGACGTGTCGGAGACGTTCGGAGGCACCCCAGCCAATAGCTTTTGGTCTATGGTCCTTCTTCCAGGGGTGTGGTTGCCTGAGAGGTCTCCCTATTTATTTGTTCAAGTATCCTTGCAATTCCTGCACTGTCTCACAGAAGATGCTGCCAACACAGGCGTGGGCTCCTGATGAAGGGAGGTGAAGGTTCCAACGATCCTCCCAAACACTTCTGCTTGCAGCGCTGGTGGGTGATTTTGTCTCTGATGGGTTGGGCATCCGGAAGACCTCGGTGTGGTCCTTCTGCTTCTTGCCTGAGGGCCTGAGGGCTTGCAAGTCATGAAGTCAAAGTGTCAAAAAAGAAGACGGCACTGCAACATGTTCCCGGATGTTTATTCAGTAAATGCACTGCACCGGCATAGCTTCGTCTCAAATGCAACTTCCAGCTTGCTTTTGGTGTGGACCCCTGGCCAGGCCCTAGGAGAAACAACGACAAGTCAGCAGTTGCACCATGTTCCACTCCTTTCACAAACCACTCCTCTCACCAAAGTTCATGACTTCGTCGACCGCATCCAGTGAAACAAGCCATGGCATCTTAACATGGGCTGCCTGGAAATCCCACTGGAGTTGATCGGAGATCCGCTGCGTGAACTGCATGTGCTCTTCTCGGGCTGCCCGGGGTTTCAGACGCCTTGGCTACAGTACACTCTCCCTAAGGATCCAAGTACCCTCTGAGAAGGTGTTTGGGGTGGGTTTGGAGGGTCCAAGTACCTTTTGAGGAGGTACTTGGATCCCTCGGGTCTGATTTCAGCACCTTTGGCTGAACCCCCCTTCTGAGGAACACACTCCCTTCGGATGGAGAAGGTCTATCGCATGGAGTATCGCATGGGAAGAGACTCACATGAAACCCGGAAAAACGCATTCGGTTGTAGAGGACCATATAGTCTTCCAGTCTGGTCCGTATGTTTGTGGGTTTACCTCCCTGAAATCATCATGGTTAATTCCGTATGTGGATGGCAGACCCGACATTGGCCATTGCCTCGTGTCATTATCATGTCGTTCCAGGGTGGATTCACTAGTACCACCCTATGTATATGGCTAGCTCGAACGATTCGAGTGGGCGGGCATCGCGTGTGCCTTCTTTTTTAACCGCTCACCAGGAAAGCCACCTGGGAAGATGAGAAGATGGGCCACTTGCTTGAGGATGGGTCGGCTCCCTACCAATACCAGCACGATGGTCGGCACCCATTTGTGGGAGCACGTCACCGGAAATTTCTAGGTATGGAAGGGGTTGCTTATGGCTTAAAATAACAGTTGGCGAGGTTTGTTACTAAATTGCTCGGTATAGATGATATGTTTCTTTGAAAGTTACATATTCTACCAGCACTTTCCTCTCAAGGTCACCAATGGAAACCCTATGAAACCCTTACACTACTTATGGTTCTCTATTGGACACCGCGACAGGAAGGTCCAAGTGCAGCATGTTAGCAACAGGTAACAGGTCCCAAGTTGCCAATTAACTAATTATCCCACAGCAGGCAATAATATATCTTTAAAGCGATCGTGCAACACCGTCCAAAGCCACTCGGTAAGACGGCCCTTTAGTCAGAAAGTTGCTTGAGGCGACTCCTCAAAAATACCAAGAAAGTGGTGTCGATTGGCGGGTGGTTGACGCGAAAGAGCTGGGGCCCTCGGGGTCACAGAGGATGTGACCACTATATGTCACTTACAAACCGTTGGAGTCGGGGGGGAGGGTCTTTGATCGTTGACTTTGCTGCGTTTATCCTCACGATCAGCGAGGATCCACTGGTTGGATGTACACTGCAGGACAAAACAACCATCATCTTCACGCCCAGCAGCCTTGCCCAGCCCGGGGATGGTCGTGCCCAGGCTTGGTGCACTTCACCAGCCCCTCCTCGGCGCGGGCGGCGCGGCAGAGCCGCCGTGACACCACCTGGCCCAGCGGCCAAGCATTGCAGATGCGTGCGCAAAGCCCGGGGCACGCCCGGGGCGCCAACGAGAGCAAGCAACGGCTGCGGCGCGCCGTGGCTTCTTGGGCCTGTTGAGCAGCAAATTGAGGGTCTGTTGTTGAGCCTCCAGATTGTGGTGCTGGTTAGTTGCACTCGGATTCAGACCACGTAATGATGACCACGCGACCACGCTTGTAAAGAAGACCACGGTATGACCACGCGACTTGCATTTCAAGAAGACCACGGTATACGTTATTTGATGGTCCCAACTTCCCTGGCCGCCTTCGTCCTTCGGGGCCAGCAGCGCCAGGCCGAGAAGTCGATGGGCCTCGAGGAGGCGATCGCCGGTGCCATTGACCACTGGCCGCACAGTGATCCGGAGATCCAACAAGGCGGGAAGACAGACGAGAGGCCGACTTGAGTGAGGAGAGGTCGACTCAGAACATCATGGTTGTTTGCAATGACCACGAATGAATCATATATATATATATCTTATATATATATATACTTAAGATTATATAATCTGCATATATATATATATATACTGGAGATGTGCAGAGTTTTTTTTGGGATACATTTTATATCATGTTATTGGTTGCAGTACAGCGTTTGCTTTTAACAAGCCAGCTGCATATGTTACTTACACTGCATATATGTCACGTGTCAGCGTCTTCCAAGTCCGCTTTTGTGAGACGGCTGGGCTGTGGAGGTGGCGGTCACCCAACGTTTGCATGCGCCGATGGCAGCGGGATTCCCCCAGAAAAAGAAGGGGGCCACCTCACTTGACCTGGTAGAACATCATAGAACAGGTGGACAGTTCGGCTCGCACCTTCACCGACCAGGGCCTGACTGGGGCAACGGCTCAGGAGTTTTCCCCTTTTGACCTGTCACAGTTTCCCCTCGCACCTCATGGCTCAGCTCCCGAGCTGTCCACGCTGCTCATGGAGCAGCGAATTGGCCGTTGGTGGCGTCCGCTGGGTACGGAGAGAGAGGAAGGGCGCGTGGCATGTGACATTACGATCTGTACCTTCAACATTCTAGCTGAAGGTTTGGAGCCCCAGAACTGCGCCTTGAGCTTTTGTCAGCGCAAGGAGGCTTTGTTGGAGGAAATCCTCTGTTGCCAAGCGGATGTGATTTGCTTGCAGGAGGTGGATCACTTCGCAGATTTCTTCCAGCCAGCCCTGTCCAAAGACTATGTAGGCTGCTTTGTACCAAAGACCAAGTGGACAAAGAAGGAGGGTCAAAAGACTATGGCGGCCACAGAGGGGCAGGCCATTTTCGTTCGAAAAGAGCGCCTGCAGGTCATCATGCCACTGTGCTGGACCAGCCTTAACCTTCGAGAAAAGAGGTGGGCCAGCCTGGCAAAGGCATGGAAGCAGCACATACAGAGTTCGCAGAAGATGCGCTTTAGCTACGGCACTGAGAAAGCTCTCCAGGTCGTGCCGCAAATTGTTTTGGGGGTGCTTCTCCAGCCGAGCGACGCATGTCACCAGCCCTTCCTTGTCACCAGCATGCATTTGAAGTGCCGCGTGTCGGAGGAGCAGTTGCAAGGTATGGACTATGACCATTTCAAGCATTTGCAGTGCCAGCATTTCCTGAGAGCAACCATGAAAGCTGCTGAAGAGCTGTTACCCCCAGGTGCGCCCGTGCTTTGCGGCGCTGATCTGAATTTGTGCCTTGCCACAGATCAAGGAGCCGCTACAGTGGTCGAGCAGGAAGGGTTTGTGGATGCCGGCGCAGCCTACCCGGCCTCCCATCATACAGTGGACTATATCCTCGTGCGGGCGAAGTCAGGTTCCCCTGAAGCCGTTTGGGAGCTTCCCAGTTTAGAGATGGATGAGAGTGCTCACCAATCTTTGCCAAATGCCCAATACCCATCTGACCATATCCTTCGTGCTGTGCAGCTGTCCCTGCCACCAGTCCAGGCTCCCCTACCGGAGAGAGATGAGAGAGGCTGATTGATGCTGATTGCATACATCTTCAGACTGCCATTTGCTGCAATCGGGCAGGCAGGGCCCAGGCTTTCCGGCCTGGCGATGTACAGGAACGCCTTGGTCTGATCAAGCCGAACCAGTGGTTCCAGGGAGGGATGGGCGCCCATCGAATGGTCATTGCATTTCCTTTGTCCAGTGACCAAACGAGGATATCAGCCGAAGAGTGGCGTGAACAGACACACTCACGAGCGGCCATAGTTAAGGATGTTTGCGCTGGGTTGTATTAGGGCAGATCCAGAGCCCCACAGCCTTACAGTAGATGTTTTGCCAACTGTTCCACTGTAAAGGGACTCTGGAAAAAACACCACTCCACTCCGGTCGCATGGCGAGGCCTTACCCTGCTCGCTTCTCAAGCTCTTCACAGCGACCACGCGCTGGTCACGCAGCGCCGGGCGCAGGCCTTCGCGCACGCGCGGGCACAGGCAAAGCTGGCAAAGGCCAAAAGGCAACTGGAAGAGGGTTCGACGCCCCGACGAGCAGCGTGGGAAGCTTGGATGAGGTTGGGGA